TTTTTAATCTTTGGTTGAATCTGAGGATATAGAATCCACTGTACCCACCCACAGACTTCTGCGTTAGTTTCCTTTTTAACCAGTAGGGGGACCAGGGGAGCAGCAGAACAGTCCTTGTCCCCTGACTGCTTTATGTTCTTTATTTCTGAATTCTGGAAGGGCCCCTCTTGCTGTCACCTTGGAATAGAGCCTTTGTCCTCCAGGACAGTGGGGCAGCAGCATGAGGGTCCAGACTTGTCAGCTGAGTTACTGCTCTTGCCTACCAGGCTCCTCCTTTGGGGACTTAGGATCTGCCAAGCTGGGACAGAGGCCACTGAGCCAGCCAGCGGGGATCTCTACCAACCCCTTCATGGTGAGTGCCCCAGTTGGCGCTGGGAACAGAATCCTTCCAGAAGGAGCTGTGCACCCTTCCTCATGGAGCTCTGTGTCGCCCAAGCCAGGGAGGAGATCAGCTATAGGGTTTCAGTTCTGGGCCCTGCCCCCTCTAGTGCACCTTCTCCCTGACTCTCCCCTTCCTCAGCACAGTAGCTTCAAGAGAGAAAGGGATCCTGAAGTATATGTCTGTGTTTCTTCTATGGCCGACAACTGTTCTCCCCTAATCTAATAACTTTCTGTTGTTTTCTTTTTAGACTGGAAGCTCATCGAGTCCATTTGCCTCCAAACCTCCAACCACAAATCCATTCTTGTAGCACTGTGTCTTGGGGGCCCTCTTCCCTGCTTCCTGGGGCCCCTCTGCTCCCTAGAGCTCTGGTGACCACTTGCCTGTGGGCATCTCTATGGATTTGAGACCAGAAAGGGCCTGGTTTGCAGGGCAGGGGCCCTGGGGAAGGTGGAGGTGCTAATGCTTTGCTTGGGGCTTCCAGATGAATCTGTCTTGGGTCAGCCACCCAGAAGCTTCCTCCCTTCTCCCTCTGCCAGCTCCTTCCCAGCAGGAGGCCCAGGAGGACTGAAGGCAGGGCTGGCCTGGAGGAGCCATGGCGGTGTGTTTTTTTTTCAAATTATGAATTATGAAGACAACCCTCCTCCCCTGCCCTTGGCATATACATGGAGCTCCCTGAAGACTGAGGAGGTCGCGGGCATGGCCTGGATGGCCTTCCCCGTAGGACCCACGCTTGCGCCATACCCAGCTCTCCAACACTGTGCTTCTCCTGGACACTACTGCAGTGGGGAAAGCAGGGGAAAGATGAGGCATGGCAATGGTGTGGGAGGGCGGCCAGACAGCCCAGTGCCCTTGGTGCCCTGGCGGGGCCACACCTGCTTCTGTCCACTTCCTTTTTTTGCTTCCCCAGCTCATCCAGTCCTGGCACTCAGGAGGCTAGTTTTACCTGCATACTGACACATGCCCAACTCTGTCAAGCACTTTAGTTAGCCGTTGGTGTCATGTTTGGATACCAGTGTTTTATATTTATACATAGAGAGAATTTTCTAATATAGCCTATTATATATATATAAATATATGTACACATATATATGCACATACATAGACACACACCCAGCTGTGCTGCCTCTCCCAGACAGCTCTTTAACATGGGGAGTGGGAGAAATCCCCATTTGTGCCTGGACCACCAACACTGAGGTCCCAGGGAATGGGGGGAGGGCAGCCATGTGTCCTGACCACCCCAGAGCCTGGGTTTTTCCAGGGAAAGGCTTCATGCAATTGACTGGGACTTGTTTTTTTGTTTTGTTTTCCTTTCTTTTTCCACATGCCTCACCCCCTACCAAATCTCTGCACCAAAGCTCGTTGCAGGCAATGTTAGAAAGAACTGCATTTGAAAGTAAAGGAAATGGCTCTCTGGTCTTGCTTTGGGCCAGCCTGAGGGATCACAGGTCAGCCAACTGACTGATTCTTGACTTGGCTCCACCGGTCTGGACTGCCTGGGCTGATGACCAGGCTGTGTTAACGGACGACAGGACTCATGACTGGACAGAGCCAGTCCCTGTCTGAACCTGAGTCCTGTGTTAGCAAGGGGAAGGAGCATGTCAGGAGTCCAGGGACAACCCCTGTGGATATTGGGCTTTGTTGGATGTAGTGAAGGGGCAGTACCCACCAGAAGAGGCAGCTGCCACTTGGAGACGGAAGTGGACCCAATGAATACATCAGCCTCCCTCCCCACCCCCAACTGTTATCAGCCTCCACTAGATGTTTCTACCCCAAGCTGTTGTGTCAACAGCCAGGTGTCTGGACTGTTTATGTGGTGACAAGACAGTCACTGGGTAAACATCTCTGAGGCTGAGGCCTAGGACTTGGCCTTGCTGTTTTTAACCCAAGGCCAGGAAAGGCCCCTCCCCTCATACCATTGCCCTGGAACAGCCCTTGAGCTGTCATTCTTGGGATTGCTATGGGTCTTCCACTAACAGCAACAAGGAAATGTAGGGATTGGGTCATCAGTTTATTTGCTTTGCAGAATTTGCTGGAAAGACCTCTAGTTGCTGCTGTTTGCTCAGCCAGGCTTGGCCTTCTCCTTTTCCAAAAGTCAATTTCCACCCCGCCTGAGTCTGCGTCCCCACTCACCCAGCCTTTCCCCTCCTCTCTCTTGTTGGGGGTCTCCCAGGTGTACCCATCCTTTACTTCCCATGGAAATTATCTCTTCCTGCTCTCCCAGTATTTTTCTCTACCACTTGTTTATCACTCTGTCCTCCCTACTGCTGTTTCCCATTCTTTCTTTCTGCTTAGGGCCAAGAGAGAGAAGCTAATATCTGGAGCTTATTTTCCCCTTAGCTTCAGTCACCCTTTCCTAGCTCCAAAAAACACTGAGGTTTGAAGAGAGCTAAATGGCTTTCCGCCTGCGTTTCAGGCACACCATGCTGTCTCCCAGGGATTTTCTTACTGCCTTCTTGCTGCATGGGTTCTGGGCCTCCCTGTGGCCCTCCAGTCCCTCTGTCTGACATGGACTCTAGCCAGGCTCACTGTCCAGGGACAGATCAGCCCTACAGCCCAGGGCAGAAAAATCAAAAAGTTTCTGGGCACAGGCTGAGGCTAGGAGTGCAACTGCTTCCCTTGGCATGAGCAGCCCCAGCCCTCCTCCATGCAGCCTCCTTCTCCAGGTCAGTGACAAAGCATGGAAAGAGCCCTGGCCTGACAAAAAATGTCTGAAATGACTGGGCTAAATTCCTCCCTGCACAGCCTCGCCTGGCGGCTGCAAATCTAAACCCTCTGTGCATAGGCAGGAGGCTGGAGTGACACACCAGCTCCTCTACCTTCTAGCCAAGTCCTCCCCTTGACACATGCCCCTGGCCAACACTGTGCCCCTGCCCTACAGTCCTCTGGTTTGGACCCAGTCTTCAGTGGGTTACCTGTGGGTAGTCCCTATGGGAGAGGGTACAGGGGACAGCCCCCAGGATTCTCTCCACCTGGGACCCAAAAGGTGGGAGGGAGGGGCTAAATCTATGGCACTCATATTCACAGAAGAGAAAGACCCCACATGGAACTCTTCCCATTGGCTTCCTCCCCCTGGTAACAAGATTCTTCCACCGGTGTGGAACATGGCACCTGGATGAGGATACAAAGGTAGAACCCTCAGGTTGGGAGGGGCACTACTGGTGGAGCTGAGGTTCGGCCACTTTTGTCCCTGGGGAGAAACAGGGCTAGGGCAATGTTGTTGCTAGGACGACTGGTGTAGACCAGCTGGACTCCAGGCTTTTCCTGGTACCCAGCAGGCCAGCTCACTGGCATTGACTACCTCCCCTGACCTCCCACCATTGCTTGCCCACTCTCCAGGCTCTCAGATTGCTGCTGCTTCCTGTGTTATCTTTACCCGGCACTCCAGGGCTCAATGACACAATGTGGTTTGGGGCTGTCTGTGTGACAGTCACTGTGATTTCACAAGGACAGGTGTTGCAAGATGACCTGGTTGAGGGAGACCGGAAGAAGGCATGAAGAGAGCCTCCTTGGATAGGTTTGCAGCAAGCTTAGGGGAGTCCGGGTTCCCAGGCCAGCAGCACAGCAGGGGCGTGGGCCATTGAGGTGGCAGCAAGACTGGGAAGGGGAGGGGTGTGCAGACATCTTTTGTGACCCTGTCACTTCTCACATGGTGCCCACATCAAGCCTCTTGGCCTCACTGGTGCCTCTGGCCTTGAACGTAGTCCTGTTTGTATGGCTACTAAGGGATCCATCCCATACTTGCCTCTCCTTGGCCAGTATCCACCTCTGGGCAGTGGCCACTGCCTCCCACCACACCAGCTGATATGCAAAGAAGTTTCCTGACCCTGGATGGGACTTTGGCTAACCAACAGACACCTAAGCAGACCCTGCACACCTTGCCAGATGCCCATCCACCCATCCTTGGAAATGTTGGTTGGTTCCCTGCATCTTGCTCTCAGCATGGCCTTTGAAAAAGTGCTCAAGGGCCAGGTGTGATGGCATATGCCTGTAATCCCAGCAGCTTGGGAAGCTGAAGCAGAAGTTTCATGAGTTCAAAGCAAGTTGTGCTGAACAACTCAGTGAAACCCTGTGTCTAAATAAAATACAAAATAGGGGGGCAGGGGTTATAGGTAAGTGGTAAAGCACTTGCCTAGCACATGTAAGGCACTGGGTTCAAACCTCAGCACCACATAAAAATAAATAAATAATGGTATTGTATCCATCTACAACTAAAAAATATATATTTTTTAATATTCATTTATTTATTTATTTTAGTTTTTGGAGAACACAACATCTTTGTTTGTATGTGGTGCTGAGAATCGAACCCGGGCCGCACGCATGCCAGGCAAGCGCGCTACCGATTGAGCCACATCCCCAGCCCCTAAAAAATATATTTAAAAAAAATATAATACAGGGCTGGGGATATGGCTCAGTGTCCGAGTGCCCTTGAGTTCAATCCCCCGGTACCCACCCCCCAAAAAAAGGAAAGGTGCTAAGGGATCCCAGTACCACACACGGCAGGCTGTCTTCTCCAGTATTCAGCTCGGAAAAGGGCCCCATTTTCAGGAAGCCCTGCCCTCTTCTGCTCAGACTGCCTTTAAGAACTAGTCTAAGAAAAAGAACCAGGTTCCCTTGTTTCTGTTCTCTATCTGAAGGAGCCCTTTCCCAATACCTTTTCTCTTTTTCTGGTACTGGGGATTGAACCCAGGGGCATTCAACTACTGAGTCACAGCCACATCCCCAGCCCTTTTTATTTTGAGACAGGGTCTCGCTAAATTGCCAGATCTGGCTTTGAACTTGCAATCCTCCTGCCTCAGCCTCCAGAGATGCTGGGATTACAGGCCTGTGCCACCACTCCCAGCCCAATACTTTCTTTAACAGAAGCCACAGCTTGGCCTCTTCCCCATCAGGCCCTCAGTTTTCCCCTGCAGTAATATTGCTTGCCCATGGGAATGAGATCATGAACTACACTGAAGTCTGATAAGGCCCCATCCTTATGAGACTTTATGTGTCACCTGGGCTTGTCTGAAGGTGTGCACTGGCCAGCACTATCCTTCCCCTGAACTGTGCAGTGGTCCTGAGAGCAGAATTGAGGCACAAAAATGTCCAACCCTCCAGCCCCAGCCAAACTTCTCAGTATGCAAAGGGCAAAGAGGACATGCACCAGGGAGCCCATACTTCTGTGAGCAGTGTCTTCAGCTGGTCCGGGTAGCATTTTTGGGGTGTGATGGTGAGGAGGGGGCTGAGAGCAATGGAGCAGCATGGAGGTGTCCCTGAGAGATGGCCTCTTTCTCTGCAGGTCCTTCGGTGGCTACTTAGGGATTCTGGGGGTTATGATCTGTGCACAAAGACCAGTCCAGAAGTCTACCTATCCCAAGACACCTCCTGTCACCCCAAACCCACAGACAGACTGAACCTGCAACTCAGAAATCAGACCAGCCCACAGCTCAGCAGCCATGGCTGTCGGGGCGATTTGCAGGAAAAAGCACAAAATCATCTCTGAATGGGAAGAGTGTACACAGGAGACCGACGCCTAGTGGTCCACTGGAGTAATTAAGGCCGGAGGGGAGGCTGCTGTAAGGATGGCCCTCTTGGCCACCCTCTAATCGCTAGCGCCATCACCGCGAAGTCCAATCACACCCGCCTCACACATTGCTTTCGCGTAGCTCCTGCCTGCAGCAGGCGCTGCCCTTCTCCGCCCCCACAACTGGTCAGTTGATTGGCGGAGACGTCCGCACAGTCTCCGCCCCTACTAAGACATCGTCTCCAGGGGCGCAGGACCCCTCGTCTCCACTTGCAGACTCCAACTCCTGCGCCCGGGTGAGCGAGGGTAAACCTCGAGTGGGTGGGGATTCCGGCAGCGGTCGGCGTAGGGCGGGAGGGACGGGACCCAGCCGGGTCAACCGCGGAGGCCCTAGGGAGTGCTGGGTGTCACAGGCTACTGGGCGGCCACTGAGACACATGCTGTGTGTGTGTCCCAAACTTTAGAGAACCGGGGAGAGCACCTAGACGGTCGCAACCTGTGGGGTCGCTGCTCTCTCCCTCCTGGACCTGACACTTCAACCCCACTTCTGCTGGCCTTTCCCAGCGGCCCAGGGAACGAGACCCAGCGGATCGGCTATTCCCCAGCCAATTTATTGCCTGTGGCCCGGGATGAACGCCGCAGGCGGCGGCCCCACAGCCACCCAGGAGTTGGAGTCAGCGGACGTGCCCCTCTGCCCGCCGCTGCCCTGGCCCTGGCCCTGTCCGGCAGACGTGCGGCTCTGCGGCCACCTACGGAAGCAGAAGTCCCAGCGCCGCCGGTTCTTCGTGCTGCGGGAGGACCCGCCGCGCCTCGAGTGCTACGAGAGCGAGAAGAAGTTCCGCTCAGGCTGTAGCGGCGGGGCGCGGCCCCGGCGCAGCGTGAGCCTGGCGGGCGCGTGCACCATCAGTAAGCGCGCGGACGCGCGCCAGCGCCACTTGATCGTTCTCTACACGCGCGACAGCAGCCTGGGCGTCGCAGCTGCCAGCGAGGCGGAGCAACAGGTGTGGTACAATGCCATGCTCGAGGTGCGCGCCGCCGCCGCCGCCGCCGCCGCGGGTGAGGCTGGAACACGGGCTGTCAAGCCCCGGGCCACCAGGAGGGTTAGGGCGGTGGGGTTGCAGACCTGGTTTATCTGAAACCTGTCCCTCTCACAGGTCAACTCCCGAAAATTCAAATATTAAGCGTTTACACGTCTCCAATTCTCCGGGGACGGTGACTCCAACCTCCCGCCCAAGGAATCCCCTGTGATCAGCCCGTTGTCCTTCCAGGTCCCAGCTCCCACGAAGACCCCGGGGCCTCGATCCTCGCTCCGTTCCAGGACGTCTGGCCTGTGACGCTGCGGCCCAAGGGTCTGGGGCGAACACGAGGCCTGGGCAGCGGCGACTACCGCCTATGCCTGGGTTCCGGGTCCCTGAGCCTACTGCGGAAGCCGGGGGGCAGAGGATCCCGGGACACCCAGGGATTGTCGCCACCGGCCCTGCGCCTATCCCTGCTCAGCGTGCGCCGCTGCGGCCACGCAGACTCTTTCTTCTTCCTGGAGCTTGGCCGCTCGGCGCCCACGGGTCCCGGGGAACTGTGGCTGCAGGCACCCGATTCTGTGGTGGCCCAAAGCATCCACGAGACAGTCCTGGCCGCTATGAAGAGACTCGGAGGCAGTGGTGCCAGTGGCAGGCCTGAGCCACCGTCCAGGGATCCTCCAAAGAGCATCTCCAGACCCCCTGTCCCCCAAACTTATGAATCCCCAGCCTCTGCAGCCCAGCCAAGAGGCTTGGTTGAGAGGATGGAGCAAGCAACCCTTAAGACCTTGGCAAGGCTGGGAGTGGCAGCTTCGTACCCCAAGGAGTCCGATGGGGGTGCGGGCTACATTACTATGGGAGCCAGGAGTGACTATGAGCACATGGGGGTTAGAGAGGCAGATGGCTATGTGGTAATGGGGCCCTCAGGTCTTCCTCTCGCTGACAGCGATACTGCCCACCAGACCCTTCAAGATTGGGGAGGCACAGAGTACATGCCCATGAAGAGCTTTCCACCAGAGCGCTTTTCCTACAAGTCCAAGGCCCAGAAGCCTGCACCAGAGCATAGCGGCAAAAGGGACGGCTGGGGACCTGCAGTTGCTCGGCCCTGCTCTCTGCCGCCGTCAAAGCTGGCTGGGGAGTATGTGTGCATTAAGTATGGGGCTCCAGACTTGGTAGAAAAGGACACTGCTAGGCTGGCGCCCTCCGATGGCTACCTCAATTATGTCGACCTGGACCTGGTCCCTCCTCTAGACGCTCGTGGCCACGGCCCAAGGGCCGGCCCGCACAGCTACGCGTGCATCGAGTTCTAGAACCTCTGGGAGGCGCCAGTGAGCAGACGGGGGCACTGGCCAGCGGAAGAATGTGAAACTCGCCAAAGTTACCAATGTCCCCCATCCCGCTCATGCTTTCTAACACCCCCTACCGCGACTAAAAGGCCAAAGTCTTGACCTCCAATCTGAGACTTGCAGAGGCACTGGGTTGCCCCTTGGCCAGCTCTGTTCTTTTAAGGGAGAGAATTCTAGAACCTCTTCTACCTCCCCCCAACCCCACACCTACCTCTTCCCCAAATTATAAACTTCTGGACTTTCTCAATTGAAAGCCTGATCCTGTTTCCCTAAAGAGTTCTAGAGAATCAGACTCAGGTGGGCTCTTAGGCCACAGATGAAGGTTCCTGTTTGGCTTGGTGTTCCTGCACACACCTGCGGCGCCTTAGGGTGAATTCCTGGGGCCCTAGCTCAAGAAGAATGGAAGGATCTTAAAACACCTGGCCTCCTTCTTAGTCCACCTCTCCCAGTCAAGCATAAGCCAGTAGAGCTGACCAAGTCCTTGCTTCCTATAGGTTCATCCCCAACTCTGCACTGTGGACCATCCCCCACCTATTAAAGGTACCCTGCTGGGTAACTGTCCTAGGTTGGTGGATTTCCCTGCCCCATGGTGATGGGGCAATGAGAGACAAGAATTTGAGGGAAGGACAGTCAATGCCATGGTAGAGGACGAGAGGCCACTCCTGCCTCTATTCTGCCACCTGTCACAGGGAGCTTGTTTTGCAAACCAACAGTTTTATTGTCAACAGAACCTGCCTGGTGAAGTGGGAGGCCCACTCTGCCCCAGGGGGCTATGGACAATGGGTGTCTTGGGTCTGTGGAAGTAGTGGGTCAGTGTTTCCAGAACAGCTTTGGCTACCACTGGGGCCTAGGTGGTCAGAAACAGGAACAGGGGCTGTGCACCTGGCAGGGATCGGGGAAGTTGGCGGGGAGCTGGGTCTCGGATCCCCCTGACTCATCTGCAGCAGGCCAGTGAGGGCGATCAGTTCCGGCCCACTGAGCCAAGCAGTGGAGCAGCCCTGGGATGCAGAGGGGCAGACTGAGGGGGACATTATGGGGGGCGGCAGCAGCAGCTTCAGCGAGCCCATGTTCTGAGGAGAGAGAAGGGAAATGTTTCCTCCCAGGCTCCAAAGAAAGGCTCAGTGGGGGAGGGGTGGCAGGGTGGCAGAGGACAGTCACTCTCACCTGCTGAGGGGGCTCAGACAGGTACAGGGGTACACGCTGCCCACAGGGTAGCAGAGGGTCCAAAAGAAAGACATCTTCACAGCACATCACTGGGAGCCCTGAGGAAGAGAGCCTGCTAGGGGGGGCAGCAGGGGGCTCCCAACCCAGCACCAGGATGCTATTGGAGTCTAGACCACTCCTCGGGAGCGAAAAGCACTAGGGAAGTACCTGCATCCCTGGGCGACTGCTCTTCATTCTGATGCCCTGGAGTGGGGGCCAGGGGCCTGGCAGCCCTGCCTGAGACCTCGTACATGGGCCAGAAGGAAGGATGACACAGTGTCCGGCCTGAGAAGGAGGCACCTGACCCACAGCTGGACCCCTGTGGAGCAGGAAAGTCACTGGAGCCTCAGTCCCTTCCCAGGACATCCTGCCACCCTGAGCCAGAACCACACAGTCCTCCCAACTCACCCACACCAGCCGAGGTCTTGGTTTGGCCTCATAGTTGGGGTCCCAGGGTGACAGCAGGGTCATCCTTGAGGGGGCCACCTCCCAAGCCACCTGGGGGGAAAGTGGGAGGGGGGGGCAATTGAAGAGATTAGAACAGGCTCAGAGTCAGGGAGCCAGTCTTGAGGGTAGAGGCAGCCAGGCCTGTGCCTACCTGGGGTTTCTGGGGACTGCTGTGTAGCCTGGCCTGGGGGTGGGGGGCCAGCTGCTGCTCTCTCCCGCTCCAGGAAAGGCCCAGGGCCTGGGGCTGCTGGCTGGGGAAGAGAACGAGATGCTTCACTCACCATCCCCTTTCCAAAAACTTCCTTGGGCTTAGTGGCAAGGCCAACTGTGCCTGATCCCAGGGGAGACTGAATTTACGGTGCTGGGCAAAGGTGGAGGGTCCCCTGTTGTGCAGGGGCCCCAGCCAAGCCCCTCACCTGTCCTGTGGGGGTGTTCCTGGCTCCCCCGGAGCTTCCTCTCCAGAGCTCCAGGCCTCCCCTTGGTCACTGCCCGCCAAGGGGCCTGGTTCCTCCTGCGACTCCTCCTTGCCTGTGCCCCATGGCTGAGGCGGCCAGGGCAACATGCTGCGTCTGGGGGAGCGCGGGGCAGCGCCGCTGTGCCCCCACGTCCGCTTCCCGCGGGCCCCGCTCGGCCTCCCTCAACCTAAAGCCGGGCCCTGTGCACAAGCCTAGGTCCACGGCCCACTTCTGAGGCCTCGCCACGACGCCTCGCCCAACGCCAGCGCCGTCTCCCTACCACGTGGCGCGCGCTCCCGCCGGGCTCCACCGACGCCCTCTGGCGGCGGGGTCCACCAGCCCGACCCCGCCCCGGGCCCCGCATGGGCGCGCTCAGGAGGGCACTTCAGGCCCCGCGTGCCCTGCGGAGAAGGGCGTCCAAGTTCCCGCCGCTCCCTGACAGACACACTCACACCTGAGGGCCAACCTAGGGGGCTTCCAGCTTCTCTTTATTGCGCTCACAACATCATGTCGGGTCTTCCATCCAGACCCTCAGCTGCAGGAGGCTCCAGGGCAGAGGGGAGCCCCAGGCCCAGGGTCAGGCCGGAGGCCACCCTCACCAAATCCTTTTTAGTGAGGTCTTCGGTTCCGGGGTCAGGTGGCCCTGCACCCCTACCTCCACCCCTAAGGCCGTTCCAGCAGTGCGTGGAGGACAGCAGCGATGTGGGGGAGACCCCTTCCAGGGGCCGCCTCCTCTTCCAGGATGTGGTGGGGCTGGCACAGGGACTCCTGGGGGGAGGGGCCCAGGTTAATTTCCCCCTGGTACCCCCTCCACTCAGGTTCCCTGTCCCGGGCAAGGTGTTAAGAGGTGAAGGTCGGGGACATCCTGGTAGACACTGTCCACAGCTTGGGGACAAATGATGCACATGAAAGCTGTCAGCAGGTAACAAAAAGGAGGTAACATACAGGACCAAGGTTCAGGGGGCAGGGGAGACCTGTCATTTCCAGAGGCAAATGCTGGCACAGGCAAGCTGGCACATGGAGCCCAAGGGGCCCCACCAGGACTGGGCCTGGCCACAGGAGGAGCAGATGCAAACACACAGGCAGCCACAGTCTGTACAGTTTATACACAGAGCCAGGGACCCAGCCTGGGCCCCCACATCCGCTACAAATATAGAGTTCTCTCTACAAAATAGAGATAATTTAGCCCCCCATAGCAGCCAGTGGGGGGGTAGAAGAAAGGAGGGGAAGGAAGAACCAAGCTCCCGCCCCTCCGGGGGTGGGGGGTCAGAAGGTGGGGCCTGGCTGGGTGGGAAAAGGACAGGAAGCACTGAGGGTGAGGGGCAGTGAGTGAGGGGCTACAGGAGGGGGCCCAGAGGCAGGGGGCCCAGCTCTGGGGACACCAGAGTGGGGCCTCTGAGGTCAGTGTTTGTGAGGGGGATACACTAGTGTCTTTGGTAGGGGCTGAAGGCACCACTGGTGGGGATAGGGTTGAACAGGAGTCTTATAAATAGAAATGGGGGGTGACTTCAGTCCTAGGAACCCAGGAGCCAGGTGTAGACGACACAGAGCAGCAGCATGAGGACGACGTAGAAGAAGACGAAGCCACCCAGACCAGAGGGGGGCCAGACAGGCGGGGGGGCCTTGCCCCCCACCCGCTTCACAGCCTCTAATGTGGTCCACAGCCCCTGGGTGGTGCCCTGGAGGAGATCCGAGGGCGAGCACAGGTCAGCCTGGGAAGGGAAGGTAGGGCAGATGGACAAGGACAAAGGACAGATGTCAGCAGCAGCAGCCAGTCCTTCCCACCCCTGCCCTCACATGCCAAGGCCAGAGCCATGCCAACATGCAGACATGCAGGGCTGGGAGACGTGCGGGTGGTGGCATGTGATATGCTTCCTCTAGGAGCAGACACCCCTGTGAACAGAACCCTGCCATCCATGCAATGTGACCAGCTGAGCCCAGGATACTGCCACCCTCTACAGCAGACAATAGCCCCCATACATACCTCAGGTACCCCCATTTTTCGACAGGCTTCTAAGAAACTCTCCACATTCTTCCGAGACTTGAGGGCACTGAGCTTTGGCTGAGGATGGGTAAAGAAAGAAAAGAGAGTAAGGGAGAGGCCTCAGAAGTCCCTGACCCATCCCCTATTTCCTCCCTGCACCCCAACTGACCACAGCAGGTGAGGGTACATGAATGAAGGGCACAGAGCGAGGCCGTAGCTGATTGGCCAGCTGACAGAGGATGACCCCATTGGCCAGAGCCTCGCCCAGGTCCTCAGGCAAGGGCTGCTGCAGCCGTGACTCAAGGACCTGGGAGTAAGGGAGAGAGAAGCAGATGGGGTCAGTCAATAGGGAATGCACAAGTTCCCCTCTTCTACCTCACAGGAGGGCCAGGGTGAGAAAGGGTGTTGAGGGAGGGAAGAAGCTGGAGGAGGCACCATGCTGAGCCCAGGCCCAGCCCCTGAAGGTTCTACCTCTGCTTACCTGGCGCACTTGAGACATTAATTCCTTCTCATCTGGAACCTGGGGTGCTGGCCGAGGTCTCAAAACAGAGTCCGGGGAGGATGGGCCTAAGAAGAAGAGGAAGGCATGGGCTGTCTCCACTACACACACCATTGACTGCAGCCAGCTGTCAGTGTCCGGCACTCACACTTCTTGTCTCTCTGCTTGTGGGATTTTCAACACAAAGGGACAACAGACCCAGAAAGCTTGCAGACCAGTGTGTGGCACTAGTCTCATGGTCAGGGCTTGCTGAAGGTAGGCAGTACTGGGGAGAATGGGGAGACCCACCTGAACCACTCTGAGAGGAGGAACGGAAGAGGAAACTGTTTGGTCTCTGAATGGAGCCCAGTGGCCGGGGAACAGGTGCTGTCGCTGGGGGCCAAAGTCAGGGAGAAGGACAGATGAGAAAGACATCCCCTCAGTGTCCCACTCTTCCCTCAGGACACCAGGTCCCAATCACCCCCATCTCTTCCCAAAGTCTCTGTCCTACCTGGTCCAGTCATAGGCAGGGACTCCTGGGGGGGAGGGGCAGGCACAGGGACTCCCTGCCCCCCTGAAGTTCCCGGTTGTGGTTGTATAGTATTAGACTTAGGCAGCCCACTGAGAGACAGAAAGGGAATTAAAGGGGAGGATCAAGGAAAAGGTTTGTGGGCAGAGGTCACAGGGACGAAACCTACTTGTAGGTAGCCTGAGTGGATGAGGCAGCAGCACCTCCCCCAGCAGCCCTGATCCCCAGCTTCAGGAAACTGGAAGAAGATAGAGGGGGGAGTCAGCTGTGCCAGGCACCCCACGGACCTGAGGGGCAGATCAGCTCGGGAGGTGCCTGTGTCCACCCAGTCCCAGACCCACTGTCCAGCAATAGCTCCAGTCTGTCCTAAACCCACACCTGTCCTTCCTGGGGGCCCCCCACCCCCCACTCTGCTGTTGCTGCTGCTGCTGCCGCCGTTCACGCTCCTGCCACAACTGCAAAGTGTCAGGGCGCCGCCGTTCCTCCCCTGCCGGTTCCTCCCGCCTAAGGATGAAGACAAAGCAAGAAAGAAATACTGACAGTCAGGGAAAGGGGAGGGGCCCAGGGACTGCAATATAGGGCAATGTGGGCTAGGAGCTGGGCTACCTGCTGCTCAGTGCCCTCTCCCCGTCCCCTGCCGCAGGGCTTAATTCAGGTGGCCGCTGTTCCTGAAGAGAGAACACAGTAAAGATGAAGGAATCCCTGGTCCCCAGAGACTGCACCACCTCCCTCCCTCCAGCTCCCCTCCTGGAGGAGGGGCATGACTGGTCCTCACCTCAGCAGCACCTCGCTCTTCATCTTCTCCAGGGACATGGCTATCAATGAAGTCAACCTGCTCTGGGTCTCCATCAGCTGGAGGAGAAGAAAACATCAGTCAGCAAGCAGATGGGGGCCTTTGGACCCTCGTCCTCCCTGTGCCTCCCTGGCCCCACTCCACTACTCACCAGAGCCATCTTCTCTCCGTTCTTTGGGGGCCCGAGGTTCCCGGGCCAGCTCTGAGATCCGGAATGACAGCTCTGAAAATTCATCTGTTGACTGTAAAGGCAGATGCACATATGGGAGGTGGGCTCTCTGCAGTGCTGGGGATTCACAGGGGGTCTTGTGAGGGACTGAGAGTAGGGTCTGGGATGGTGGGCAGAGGGAAGGAAGAGCTCTAGCCACTGCCTGTCACTCTGAGAGCCAGAGGTACGAGGCAAAATGCCCCCCCAGTGCAGAGGTTCTCTCCCAGGGCTGCCACCACCAATCACCCTTGGAAAAGAGCCTTACCTCATTACCAGACCACCTCTTGCTGCCGCTGTCGACGCTGTGGAAGCCTGAGTCCAGCCCACCATCGTACCGCCGTCCCGGGAATAAATCCTCAGCAGGGCTGGGGCCAGCCAGGGAGACCTGGTCAGCCCCATGCTGACAGCACCCACATCCTCCTACAGGAAATGAGGGGGTCTCTGGGGCCAGGAGGGGGCATGAAAATGCAAGGGCTTCCTTCCTTCCCACTGGGACTTACCAGGGACTAAAACTTGGGGGGCGGGAAGGGACCAGGTCCCCCAGGGCAGCCCCACGACGCGCAGCCTCTGTTGATAAGTACTTAAAGATGTGAAGCTTCCCCTTCAGGCAGATCTGCGTAAGGAGGCGCAGGAAGGAGGGTGAGGGGGACAAGCAGCTTTCCAGATCTGGCTACCAAAGGTACCACAGTAACGGCCCCACTCCTGCCTAACTTCATCCCTGTCCCCACGGTCCACCCAGCACCTCACCTGAGCAGGTGGGCACTGCAGGGGGTTGCTGTCCAACAGAATGACCTGCAGGTGCCTGAGGCGGCAGAAGGAGACCGGGATGTGGGAGACACGGTTACAGGAGAAATCCAGGCGGACCAGAGGAAGGTCCCCCAGCTCTGGGGGTGGGTGAGGGAAGAGTCAGGAGCAGACCCGAGCCTGGGACCTTGTGCTCCCTTCCTCACCCTCTGTTCTGGTGGGTTGGTCACCCCTGACTCCATCACAGCCTCTGCCCTAGCTGGCTCAGGTCAGTCCCCAGAAGCAATCTTCCTGGTCCTCTTCTTATTCACATCTGGTCCCTACAAGGCCTATCTAGACTTGAGTTCCCGCCCAGCCCTCACCTGTCTATCAATACTGCAACTGATCCCTCATTCTCAAGTGATCAGCATAAGACATGAGTCAAACAGTGATGCCCACTGCTCAAAATCTTCCTGTGCCATGCAGTCAGGACTACTGAGGCTGCCTGAGCTGTGCCCTCCCCAAGAGCACCCACTGGCTGCAGCCTCATCTCCCTGTGCTAGCCAGGACCTGCACCTTGGGCAAGGCTCAGTCTGTCCACAGAGAGGGTGACTTTTGTTATTTCTCAAAAATACAGAGTCTGGATTTGTGGCAGCCCTAGACACAGAATAGAAAAGCACAGCCCCTATCCCAGCGTGACCAAGGCTTTCATGATCCCCCTGCACTCCCATTTCCCACTTTGCTGCCCGCCCATCTGGATTTTCAGTTTCTGGGCCTTTCCACATCCTCTACACTCAGCTGGGAATAAACATGCAACTCCATCTTCCAAGTCTATGTATCTTTCAAGGTTCACCTTAAGGGTCCATGAATCTTTCTAGACACCTCAGGGTCATGGAATTCATTGCTCTTTCTGTGTGTTCCCAAGGCATTTTGCTTGGATCTCTTTTTATGGCCCAGGGAAAGCCCTGAACAAATGTTTATTTGTACACCTACTGCTATGGGTTGAATGTGTCCCCTAAATTTCATGAGTTGGAAACTAATCTCCAAATTCATATGTAATGGTGTTTAGAGGTAGAACCTGCGGGAGGTGACTAGGTCATGGGAGCTCTGTCCTCATGAATGGACTAATCCATTGATGGATTAATGGATTAATGGGTTATTGAGGGAGTGGTTTTGTTATAAAAGCACGTTCTCTCTGGCTTGCTTGCTGTCTTGCCACGTGATGCAGCACAAGAGCCTTGCCAGTTGCTGAGCAGATGCTGGTGCTCTGCTCTTGGACTTCCCAACCTCCAGAACCATGGGCCAAAAACTGTTATTCTTTTTTTTAAGGGCAGAGTAGGTACTGGAGATTGAACATAGGGGTGCTTTTACCACTGAGCTGCATCCCCAGTCCTTTTTATTTTTTTGATAGAGAGTCTCACCAAGTTACTGAGGGTCTCACTAAATTACTGAGGCTGAGTTCTAACTTGTGATCCTCCTGCCTCAGCATCCCAAGTTACTGGGATTATAGTCATGCAACAGTGCACCTGTCTAAACTGCTGTTCTTCACAAATTACTTGGTTTCAGATATTTTGCTACAGAAACAGAATATGGTTCAAGATGCCTACTGACTTATAAGAAAGAGAGAAGGTACAGGAAAGGGTGGGGAAGGCAAAGAAAATGAATAATCATCTGACTCCCCTCTTGTTCTTCAAAACCAAGTTCATACCCTTCCTGCCTTGGCCTGGCTTGCCCTTCTAACTGCAACCACTTCCCTGCTGGAGGATGCTCCTTCCCATCTCCAACCCTTGCACATGGTGGTTCCTCTGCATGGATAAAGGATGGAGAATTCTCCTTCCAAGGTCAGTTTATGCTATGCCAGAGCCTCTGGGGAGAAGTCCTCCTCAGGTTTCCCAAGCAGAGCCCTGCCACCCCTCTAGCTCCCAGGGCTCAGCATCCTGCTCTAATGGTTCTCTATGAATTTCCCCATTAAACCATTAAGCCCTTGATTGTTGACCCAGATCTTAATCACATCACCCACATCTATTTGGCTCTCACATCTACCTGCCTTTTATGTAAAATGCAGGAAGCGCACGCGCACACACACACAAAAACAGTGCTGCCAAATAAAAGAAGGTGTGCCTTCTCCCAAGCAGAGGCTATCAAATGTTGGTGTGTCACAATTAGCTGGCTAGAATGGGGCCGCTTAGCATGACTTCTGATTCAGAGCCCTGGGGAGGAAGCGCAGAGCAAGGTAGGGTTAATGGTGATACTGGGTGACTGTGAAGGCCCCTTCTAACCTTGAGATTTTACGTGGAGCTAACCCACTCACTTACTCCCCTTTCTGTGCCTATTCCCGTATTTGTAAAACAGAGATTGTAATCCATGCTTTACCAGCCTCAGAGGGTTGCTTGAACATAGCAAATAAAACCATTTAAAGTTTGCTTTAAATACTGTAAAACCCAGTACAACTAAGACATGATTCTTCTTCAAACATTTCTTGCCTGTGACTTCTTCAAAGTAGATGCATTATTTCAGACTGAATGCTTGTTTCCCCCAAATTCATATGTTGAAATGAATGGTGTGGGTCACTGGGTGGCAATGGAGGTCATGAGGGTAGAGCCCTCAAGAATGGATTAGTGCTCTTATAAAAGAGACCTCAGACAGTTCTCCTTCCTGCTTTCCACAATTAAAAGTTGGCAGTCCCAGAAAACTTGGCAATAAGAAGAGGGCTCTCACCAGAACCTGACCACACGGGTACCCTGATCTTGGTCTCCTAGCTTCCAAACTGAGAAATAAGTTTCTGTTGTTTATAAGCCACCCAGCCTATGGTATCTTTGTTGCAGCAGCCTGAAATGACGAACACACACACATTCATGCCCCTCATCCAATTCTTCATTTTCCTTACCATCAGGCAGGGTGCTGAGCTGATTCCTTCGAACATTGAGATCCCGCAGGGAACGAAGGCTACACAGCTCCACAGGAAGGGATTGCAGCTCATTGCTGCTTACATCCTGAAATCAAGAAAGTAGCTGGGAAGGGGTCATAAGACTAGGATCATCAGAAACTGTCCTCTTGTCTTTCCTGGCTACTGGCCTTTAGTCCAAGCCTTTCCTCAAAGATACTTCCTGCTTTCCCCAGATTCTCCCCCAAAGATCTCTAGTGCCTGGCTCTACAGTCCCTCTTCTAGCCCTGTTTCCCATCCTCACAAGCTGTCGCAGGCTTCCCAAGGTGCCAATGTCGGGAGGCAGGGCTCCCAGCTTGTTGTTGCTGACAATAAGCACTCGCAAGGGCAGCTGGCAGATGTATGGTGGCAGCGATGACAGCTGGTTTCGACTGTGAAGGGAGAAAAGAAGCAGGCTCACTCCCCAGTCACAGCATCCCAGCACTGCCCACTTTTCAGGGACAGAAAGGGTCATTCAGGGTACTAAGCACTGGTTCTTTAAGCCAATAAAGACCAGCTGCCTCCCTACCTGAGGTTGAGGTAGGTAAGGGCTGTGAGATTCCCCAAGGCTGGGTTCAGGCATCTCAGGCAATTGTGGTAGAGGCTCAGGCCCTCCAGAGACACCAGCTGGCATGCTGCCTCAGGCACCTCGGGAAACCGGTTCCGGGACAGGTCTGGGGAAATCAAGTGTCAGGGGAGAGCTGTGGAAAGGCCAGTCCTGCACAGGGGTACTTTGAATGTCCTCTGGATCAGACATACTGCTCTCCATCCCCAGAAGACCTAAAGAATCAAGCCCATAAACCTGGGCTTCTGGAGAGACAACAAAGCCTTCTGCAAAACTGGAGTACACACCAAGCATGACCAGAAAGGCAAAGGGAAGGCAAAGACCTTAGGGTCACCAGGCTGGAGAAGCCCAGATTTGGGGCAGAATAGAGATACACCATGAATGCCATCTTCCAATCTCCAGATGAAGAGCTCTCCTGGAAGGGTGGCTGGATTTTATAACTCTTACAGTCCCTTATGTTCTGAGATGCCAGGAGAGATAGAAGGCAAAAGGTCACAGGAGAGGATTATGGTCCCAAGAGAACAGTAAGGTGGGAGCTAAGGCATGGTAAAGCATGTGGCTAGCATACACAAGGCCTTGGGTTCAAGTCCCAGCACCAAAAAAGTAAAGAAACGGTAAAGTGACAGGCTGGAAAGCTCAGAGAGAGAATATGAAAAATACCTGGGAACTACTAGCAGAGTCCTCCTTCAACCTCAATCTGTTTTCAACACACAGAGAACCAGGGGTCACTATATCCTGGTTTTAGAGATTAAGAAAGGCCCTAGCACTGGATACAAGTTTTTGTTTGTTTTTCACTAGCCCCAGAACCAAAGGACTATGAAGTTCCATACTCCCAAGGACAGAGAGGCAAAGGGAGAAGGCTGAGATGAACAGAGAGCCAGTGTCCTCAGGTCCTTCCCCCCTAGGCTCCCCTGCCCAAGGGTTGGCCTCCTTTTCACCCTCTTCTAGGCCACTGGCCTTCCTCTACTTCCCCTCTGACTGACCCAGCCCTCAAGAGTTCGGGCTCCTTTGTATGTTATCTCAAGCATGTCAAGGAGTACGGGGACAGAGGGGGAAGAGGAGGTGACAGGAGGGAAGGGGCTGTTACCCACTCTATCTCAAGCAGTATCTTGCCATGGCAGTGCCAGGAGGCAGGACTGGAGATGCCCTTTGGACTGGAGACACTGGCTGCATAGACCTATATAAGTCAGTGTCTGTTTGCCCAGCCCAGTCTCCACTGGGAGGAGGGGCCCAGGCCTGCTGGGGAAGTCCCAGGCAACAGAACTTCTTTGAGGGCCCTCTGGTGGTGTGAGGGGGACCAGGGAGGGAGCAAAAGCAGAGGGAGTGTGGAGAAGCTAGGACATATTCCCCAAGGAAATGAGTCTTGTGACAGGAAATCAAGTGGAAATTATCCATCAGGTTGTTTCTGGTAGGCTCTGTTTGCTAGGGAGAGGACAGCCTGATGTCCCAAGAATCACTCCCTCTCCTGCTCTGCTCCAGCCCCGGTGCACAGACAGAAGACCTAGCACTAGAGAAGACGGTTCCGGAGAGGGTGGGAGGACAGCATCTGTTTCTCCCAACCGCACTCAACACCTGCCTGCTTCCTCTGTGTCTACAAATGTATTTTGTGTGTGTGCATGTGGATGAAGGGGGTGGAGACCAAGTTCTGATGGGGTAAGCTAGGAACGGAAGGGAGCCCAGGCTGGAGGAGGCAGGGCCCAGGGGGCACAGGATGTGGTCTATGAGAGAATGAGCGACACTTCTCCTTTGCTAGAACAGCCCTTCCTCCCCCACCTTAGGACTATTTGGCCCAGGGAACAGACCATGGGGTTTCAGGGACCTAAGCATAGGAAACATTCAGGGAAGATGAACAGCAGGAGAGAGTTCAGAATGACTTGGCAGCAGACTGCTGAAGCAGTTTGTCTGAGTTAGAGAGCAAGGAGATGTGGAGGGCAGGGTAAGGGCAACTCTGTGTTTTTGTCACTTCCCCTTTCCACACCAGGCTAGGAGCACTCCATTTGGGGAAAGGGGACAGAAGAGAGAGATCTGGATGAGATGGAACTTACCTGGTCTAGAACCGGGCCCTGAAAGGACCGAGAAGGGCACACAGGGGTTCTAAGGAAGCTGGGATTTTCCCGCTTCACTACACAAGCTGCACCCTGAGCCGGAATGCTGGGGGAGGAAGCTGAGAGGGGGCAGAAGTTGGGAGGGGCCCTGGAGTTCTTGGTAGTTTTCCCCAGGAGTCCACTCACTGAGATAGAGCCCCATGAAAGTACAGAATAACATTTGGTCTTTGTCAAAAAACAAGCAACGGGGAGGGGAAAGGGAACAGACAGCAAGTGTCACACAGCTGCTGAGGTCAATCTGGAGCTTGAGGGTTGGAGGGGGGCCTGGGAAGGAATGGCTTGTGGGGCTCACCCATTTCCTGAACTCACAGCATAGTGAACAAGAAAAGCAAAGAGGTTTAAACAGGTTCTCCCCAAAACAGTAGAGGGAATGTGTGCTTGGGCCAGCCTGAGTGTTTACAGGTGGTCAGTTACCTGCTTGAAGAAAAATGCACTCTTTCACCCAGCCCCAGAGCCCTGGCCTTGAAGATAAGAAGAAGTGGAGGAGGTTCCTCACACCCCAGCCTAGGCTAGGGTGGAGCTGGGGAATGCAATCCTCTCTCTGCTGATCCCCACCCCTAGATGCCAGCCCAAGGTCATAGGTTGCCTCCTGAGCAGCTGAGGCCTGACTCACCTGTCAAAGTAGAACCCCCCACCAGCCACCTTCAACAGACACTAGGTTGCAGACAGCATGATTAGAGGGATTCTGAGGGCGGAACGTGAAAGAGGAGTCTCCAGAGGCCCAGCACTCCCGGCTAGGAGATATATTTCCTTTTGGCAACTGCCTCAAGTCCTTCGCGGAGGAAAAGCAGAAATTGAAAAGGGAATTCTAGGATCCCTATGAGGTCACAGGCTCCAAAGTGACTTCATAGACACAGGAAAGAGAGTGAGTCTCAAATAAGGGGTTCAGGGTTAATGAGCGGAAGAGTATAGGGAGAAGAGTTAAAGGAGGCAGATTTGCTTCTCTCCCATAGGCTGGCTGGGTGAAGAGTAGAGAGGGTCTGGGACTTTAGGGGGCGGGACTACGGCAAAGTAAGCAAAAACATCCCGTTGTTAGAAGCGATCCATAGGAAACGGGTGCCCGGGGCTGCTCGGATCTCGGTGGAAGAGGGGAAGGAGTTGGAGACAACGAGAAGGGAGAGAAAGGTGTAGTTAGAAAAGCCCATGGGGGCTGCTTTATGGAACTAAGGTTGAAGAGGTCATGCAAATGAGCCAACCAGGTGAGGGGCGGGACCACTCTACAGGTGCGCAATATGCAAATAAGAGGGGAAGTGTCTCATAATGCTCGGCCAGAGACTCTGGGTGTTCTGTGTAAACTAGAAGTGCGCTCATTGTCCAGTGGTTCTTACAGCAGGGAGGGGGTGGTCGCAGTCTTATGCCAATCAGGAGGGGCGTGCACCCCCACCGCCAGGTGAAGGGGCGGGTTAAACTCGCAAGGGGGGGAGGGGGAACAAGAGGGGGCGGGGCTATGCAAATGAGGGTCGCAGTTAGACCCTGGGCCGGGCGCACTCACCAGCCTGGGTGATGTCTGACAGGTCGTAGCTGCGGGCCGCGCCCCGGGGGAAGTGCTTCAAGCGCCGATTAGACAAGTTAAGGGTCCCGGTGGCCACGGCCTCCTCTAGGGCCCGCTCTGCGCTGCGGCTCCCGGGCAGACCCGGAGACCCTGGCACGGGGATCGTGGCTGCCGACTCCTCACCCCCGGCGGCGAGAGGGGCCGCTACAGCCGCCGCCATCCGCTCCCGGCGGCTCCCGCTGCCTGACTGACGGGACCGGCCGTCCCTCCTTCCCCCTCCCCCTCCTTGGAGCCGCCGTAGTCGCCTCAAGGGGGAGGAAACGGGGTCAGGGACTCGGCGGACCAATCGTGGTCCGAAGAAGCGTCGGAGGCCGCTAATCAGAACCCGCCCGGGGGGTGGAGCCTCCGGCGCAGGAGCCGGGAGAGGGGAGGGAGGGGGAGAGAATGGAGCGCTCGCCAACTGCCGACGCTCTGGGCCGGCCCACCCCGCGCAGCCGCATCCAATCACAATGCTCAGAACTGGAGATGGAGCCAATCAGGTCCTACCAGGAGGCGGGGACACCGGTGCTCTACTAAGAGAGATAGAGACTGAGAGACCACAAGCCGGAGGCACGTGGTCCTCTTCTAACGAAGGCCAATCGCAAGCAGATACAGGCGAGTGACTGTCAAGAAGGCCAATTAGCGCCTCCGGAGGGAACCTGGCCCGGCCTCTTCTCTGAGGGACGGCTCTACCTACCAATAGCATGGGCGAGAAGGCGGTCCCTTCGCTAAGGAGGAGGCGGGTGAGCTAGAACTTTGAGACTGAGGTAAAGAAAGTGAGCGCCGCGCGCTGGGCAGGATGAGACCGCAGTGCAGGGGCTGGATAGTGTATACAAGCTGGACATGTTAGGAAGCTAGCTGGCGTCGAGGGCGTGAGAGAGGCCTATGAGAACCCGAGGCCATTTCACAGGCTTTGATCTCAGCTGTAGAGGCCCCAGGGCTATTTCCGCCTGAGGAGTCTGAGGACTAACTCCCCTCATCCCTGGGCAGAGGGCGGCGGCTTCCCTGAGCCTATAGACCCCCAGCTCACGGAAGGGGAATGTCCTGGCCTGCGAGCTTCACCAGAGAAGCTTCCCTGGGCAGGAATGGTGACCACCCGTCCTAAGGATTTTAGAGGCTAGAAAGGACCTCTTGGTGTAGCACAAGACCTTCGTTTTACGGATGAGGAAACTGAGGCAGAGAGAAGTTGATGAGTTAGCAAGAGCAAACAGCAGGACCCTGACTGCTGGCACCCAAAACCAGGTCTCAGTCCTCTACGTGGGGTCCTTCCTCATTTCCTCTGTGTTTAGAGTGGACAGTGTCTGCTCGAAATCTCTTGTTTACTTCTCAGAATGAAATTAAGAAAGGGAACCAAATGCAAAAGGCAGCAGAAAGTGCTTGTCCCCTTGAAAGTCATACCACGCTTTGCAGCCCCATAAGACTGCTGGTTGCCTGACCACCAATAACTGAAGTTGCTTTTTCCTAAGTCACATCTCAGATGTTGATAGGCCTAAATGTTTATTAAATTGTTAAAATTTCTTCTTAGGTGCCCCAAAGGAGCAATTTGCTAGTTACCATAAATAAGGAAGTTGGAGTGGGTGGTGAACAGTCTGTTGGTTAGCTAGTCAAAGAATGGATCTATAATTTGGTGCTGTGCAGGTTGGTTGTCTAACAGGACTGAGTCCCTGGAAGAGCCAGCTACTCCTTGGATTTGTTGTTGCAGATCTTCTGCCCCTACCTAAATGTCACCCCCATAGAAGAAGCCAAGCGCCTAGGCTCTGGGAGATAGATTCTAAGCTTTCAGAGCAAATCCATCCATATTTCCCACCTTAATAGCCTGTCCCTTTGTACATGTAGTGATGTTACTGGTCCTCCAGAAAGCAATCTGCTTTTGAATGTGTTTTCTTAAGATTATAAGTTTGTGCCAAATTGTTCCCACATTCATCTGCTATGTGCCTTTGTGAGCAAAGTAGTCAGAGCAGAGTCCTCTTTCCTCCTCACCTATAAAATTGAGTTTATACATTTTTTTTTTTTCCTTTTCTGAGTTTATACTCTTAAACTGAAGTGCCTGGAGGCCCCAGCCTACTGAGATGTGGAGGATTCATCAGTGTTAGGAAACACTGATGGAAAATATGAAATATGGTAAATCTCCTACTATTCCCTGAAAGTCAAGGCATCATCTACCAGTAGTTTACACTTTATTTCTCTAGTAAAATGCAAAGCTCACGAGCATTCCAGTAGCTAGAGCTGATCTAGAACCCAGGAGCCAGGTCCGTGGTCCAGGTTAAGGCAAACAGGTCACAGTGGCTGAACAGTGAGGTCACAGAGAGGTTTGTTTGTCCCAGACTCCATGGGGGAGGGGCCTAGGAGGTAGAGGGGCCCCAGAGGTCCCCCAAGCCCAGGCAGGGGACATGGTGTGGGAAAGGCAGCCAGGACAGGGGCCAGGGAGCTGAGGGCCCCCCGGAGAGATGAGGGCAGGAGCAGGGAGGGGACAGGCAGGATGGTGAGGAGAAGCCGGAGACAAAAGCTGCAAAAATTGACCGGGCTGTGCGGACCGGAGGAGGGGCTCAGGGTGAGGGGGTGGCAAGGCAAGGGAAGGGCAGGGAGATGATGGCAGCAAGAGATCTGGGGATGGGTTATGTCAAGGAACAAAGCAGACAGGGAGGGTTGGCCCAGGGACCTGGAGAGAGATGGGAGGATTTGACAACACAGAGCTGGAGTCAGATGAGCCCCAACAGGAATTTATGAAAGACAGGTCAAGAGCAGGGAGAAAAAGAGGTGGGGCCCTCACAGGACCCCCTATACTTCCCCTTTCCCTCTACAGGTGAAGCGGAGCTGTCCTTCTTGTGGCCCAGAGCCAGGGGGTGAAGAGAAGAAGGGAAGAGGGAATCCTATTTCTGTTCAGTTGTTTCCCCCAGAGCTGGTGAGTCTTAGGAGCTGAAGTATTGAGAATGAAGGACTGGGGGCCAGGCCACTAGGGGCTCCAAGTGACCTCCACTTCCTCCTTGCTGCCTCCAGGTGGAGCATATCATCTCATTCCTCCCAGTCAGAGATGTAGTCGCCCTAGGCCAGACCTGCCACTACTTCCATGAAGTGTGCGATGCTGAGGGAGTGTGGAGACGCATCTGCCGCAGGCTCAGTCCACGCCTTCGAGAGCAGGGTTCTGGGGTCCGGCCCTGGAAGAGAGCTGCCATTCTTAACTGTACACCTTCCCCAGCACCTCCCTCTCTCCTTGCTTCTGTCCTTTCTTATTCTGGGAAACCTCCTGCTCTGTAAAGTTGCCTGCTGACCTCTGCACTCCCTGTCAACCTCCCAGCCCTTTTCTCTGGAAGAAACTTATCAGATCCAAACATAGTCCATTGAATTTCCTATAAGGCTCTGGGGCCACCCTCCAATATATGTGTCCTTCCCTCCCACCGCCCCCATTAGCATCCCTGCCAAGTCTCCCTCCATACACCAGCTCTTTAAATCTATTCCCTAAACCTGAAGTTTTCCTTTTCTAAACCAGGGATTCTGAACCTTGTCACCATTGACAGTTTGGGTGAAGTAATTCTTCATTGTGGGGCTCCTGTGCACTGTGGGGATGTTAGGGGCAGCTCTGGCCTCTACCCACTAGGTTCCAGTTGCAACTCCCCTAGTTGTACCAACCAATGTCTTCCAAGGGACAAAATCACCCCTAGCTTGAGAACCATACTGTAAACCCCTGCCACTCCAGAGAGCCCCTATCCAATTACTTCTTTCACACACAGGGAGATTAGGGGAGAAGACTGATCCAGAAAACAGATCCACAGCTGGGGGTGAGGGAAGGTTACTGGCCTTTCTTGGTCATTCCTTTTCACTTCTCTTTCTGCCTCATTTCTGTGGATTTGTTCTTATGTTCCCTTGATTCTGATGCAAGGTCAGACCAAAGAGGTGCTTATTTAAAAGCATGTGTCTGACCCTGGGCTGAGGCGGGGAAGATGTGGGGTATAATCTAAGCTTTCCAGGTCTCCTTTGGAAAGGATCCTGTTCCCCAGTCCTGGGGATGAGGAAAAGCTAAATATTAAGATGTCTGAGAAATCTAGTTTACCCATCCACATTGTGTTCTGACCCATCCACATTGTGTCAGTGACACTCTTTAACCTTTTATGTACTTCCCTTCTCCAGACACGAAGGGCCTGTATTTTCAGGCATTTGGTGGCCGCCGTCGATGTCTCAGCAAGAGTGTGGCCCCCCTTCTAGCCCATGGCTACCGCTGTTTTTTGCCCACCAAGGATCACGTCTTCATTCTCGACTACGTGGGGACCCTCTTCTTCCTTAAAAACGCACTAGTCTCCTCCACCCTTGGCCAGATCCAGTGGAAGCGGGCCTGCCGCTATGTTGTATTATGTCGTGGAGCCAAGGATGTGAGTAGCAGAACTGTGGCAGCTAAGAACCCACCCCCTCCTCCAGGGCCCTGAGGCCCCAGTCCTAGGGTGCCCTTGTTAGGACACTGACCCTTTCTTACCAGGAACCTGAAAACAAGTCTTTATTTCCCAAACCTGGATGCAAATACCTCTGCTCCCACCCCAGGATTCACTTGCTCCAGCCCCATCCCTTTCCCAGGCCACAGATCCCTCATCTATCTCCACAGTTTGCCTCAGACCCAAGATGTGACACAGTTTACCGTAAATACCTCTACGTCTTGGCCACTCGGGAGCAGCCAGGAGTGGTAGGCACAACCAGCAGTCGGGCCTGTGACTGCGTGGAGGTCTATCTGCAGTCCAGCGGGCAGCGGGTCTTCAAGATGACATTCCACCCCTCCATGAGCTTCAAACAGATTGTGCTGGTTGGTCAGGAGACCCAACGGGCTCTATTGCTCCTCACAGGTATGGCCTGAAGCAATGGTTAGTAAATGTGTCCTGCAGATTCTTCAAGACCTGCTGCAGGGGACAGGGATGAGGCCTCTCAGGATCCACATGCCACCTGTTCTGGTTCTCAATCCAAACAGCTTCGCCTTTATCTCACTCCCAGTCTAGAACTCTGCATCCTATTTTATATGAATAAAGGGCCCTGCTGCCAAAAAAAAAAAAAAGTCCAGAAACCACTGCTCTAGTGAATACCTAATTTTTAAAATTCTAATCTCCCCAACCTCCATGCCAGGGACCTCACTTTAATACACCAAGCTGTCCTCCACTTCCCAGTATCCTTTATGCTTGACCACACCCTCAAGTCTGAATTCCTGTGGATTTCTGAATGCCAGGCAGGGCCCTAAGTCCCCAGACTTCATTCTTCCTAACAAATTAGATTCTGCCATATCTAACGCTTAGGTTTTCTCCCCATCTCTCATGCTGAACTACTTCCTGATGTATTTTTGCAATTGGTGCCTGAGGGACTTGAGGCCTCTCTTCCTTTATTTTGTGTCTATTCTTTCTTTCTTTATATATATATATATATATATATGTATTATATATATATATGTATTATATATATATAATGTATTTATGTTTATTTATTATTTTTTTATGTGGTGTTGAGGATCAAACCCAGGGCCTCGCCCATGCTAGGCGAGCGCTGTACTGCTGAGCCACAACCCCAACCCCATGTCTATCTTTTTTTCTCCAACCCCATTCTAGGGCAGTAAATGTTTCACCCTGCATGGCTTAAGGAGTCCATTGAGCATTGATTTGGATATTGATATGCCCCCTCCCCCACATAATTGTATGACTACCCTCATTCCCCAGAGGAAGGAAAGATCTACTCTTTGGTAGTGAATGAAACCCAGCTGGACCAGCCACGCTCCTACACAGTTCAGCTGGCCCTCAGGAAAGTGTCCCGTTGCCTGCCTCACCTGCGTGTGACCTGCATGGCTTCCAACCAGAGCAGTACCCTCTACATCACGGGTAAGAAGCATCTCACTTCCTTTCAAGATCCCAACCTTTAATAGCCCTTCCAAATGCTGACACCCCTAACCCTTATTTCAGCTCTGTGACATAAACCCCTTAGGGCATCCTAGTGAAAAGATATGTCTAGGTTCCTAGGCATCAGAGCTGATGCATTTCTAGTGGGTATGAGACTCCCTGGATCTTGCAGTTTTCATCCCAGGTGGGGGCTTATCCCTAGGAAACGGGTGCCCAAAGCTGCTGAGCTGAGGGCTCCCGACCCCCCAGACCAGGGGGGAGTGTATTTTGAGGTGCATACCCCAGGAGTGTATCGTGATCTCTTTGGGACCCTTCAAGCCTTTGACCCCTTGGACCAGCAGATGCCACTCGCTCTCTCACTGCCTGCCAAGGTAGGATCTGGAGGGATGGGGCAGACCAGAGGGATGGGGCTTTAGGGATTGGAAGACACCAAGGGCCTGAAATATGGACAGAAATTAAATGATTGATCAGAGAGGGGCAGGGGACTCAAGGAGTGGGGTAACATAGAGGGCAAGGCCAAAAGAGATGAGCTTGGGGGATGGCAGGTTAGCAGTTGAGCTCATGGTTCCTCTGGAGGGAGCCCAAGGCCCACCTGCTCTTTTTCTCTCATATCCTAGATCCTATTCTGTGCTCTTGGCTACAATCACCTTGGCCTGGTGGATGAATTTGGCCGAATCTTTATGCAGGGAAATAATAGATATGGGCAATTGGGAACAGGGGACAAAATGGATCGAGGGGAACCCACACAGGTAAGATCGTTCCCCAGTAATTTTCATCCCAATCCTCTTCCCTCCAATTCCCTAACCCCTGCATCTATCCACTTCTCCAATTTCCACAGAATTCACTTTCTCCTCCCCAGGAAAGTTAAGCCAATCATTAGGGTAATGCCTGTGATATTGTTGTGTAAGCTTAACCAGGGTTGGTACTAGGATGTCCATTCTGTGTGGTGCATGCTGTCACTGTAATGGGAATTTGGTGAAGGTGTGGGCTGGGGGACCTGGGTGGGCTAGGGTAACTAGAAGAAGTGAAATGCCAGCAGAGTCTTGTGGATTATATAGGGTTCAGGTGGGGATAGGGAAAGGTAGTTTTTGTTCTGAGGATGGGGACAGGGTTGAAGCTTGCACATACCTGAGACCGTTGAAAGACTGGCCTGATTAAAGGGAGGGTATGTTGGAAATCAGTGAGAATATGAGGTGTGGTATCAATATAGTTGCAAGCCTGGTAGACATGGGAAAGAATCATCGCAGGTTCTGGAACAGAAGGTGGCCACCAAGGGGTGGCCAAACTGGTCAGCTGACCATAGTGCAATGGAGCTCCAGAGCAGGCAGCCTCCCAGGAAGCTGGTAAGGGAAAGCAGTGCCTGAGACAAGGATCTGGGCTGGCTGGTACGTGGCAGTGAAAATGAAAAGGAATGGGTGGGTATAGGAGATGTTTTAGAAGAAATAAACAGGCCCTTGAAACTGATTACTGCTTTGAGGAAAGAGTGTGAATTTAGCCTTTTTTCTGTGAGAGGAAAGCATTAAGTTGGAAATATCTAGCTGGCTATAAGATTCCACATTGAAACAAGGTTGAAATGACAAAAGCAAATGTGGGCAGTAATCACAATAATAGGCAGGGAAATGAAGAAAAGAACAGGAGGCATGCCCCTCTAGTGCCACACCCCAAAAGTCATGAGAGCAGAAAGTTTCTTTTCAAATGAAGTACATGAGAAGGGTGGTAATGGTTACAGTGTGGCAATATAGGAACACATTTACTGACATGGAAAGATGGTTGTTCCATATTTTTAGGTAGAAAAAAAAACCTGAAGAGTTGGGTATGGTGATACATACCTGTAATACCATGAGGCTGAGGCAGGAGGATAACAAGCTCAAGGATAGCAGGGGAAATTCAGTGAGAACCTGTCTCAAAATAGAAAGGGCTGGAGATATAGCTCAGTGGTAAAGCAGTTATCTAGCATGTGTAGGCCCTGGTTTCAATCCCCAGTACCACAAAACATTTAAAATAAAATCTTTATGATACTGATTATATAGTACAATCCCATTTTTGTTCAAAAATATGTAATTTATGTGTATTTGTTCAGTCAGAAATGAAGAATATTCAGCAGATGCTAATAGTTGGTAGTGGGATTTCCAGTGATTTTAAAATTTTTGCTTGCCAATACATTGTCATTTTTCCTTTAGTGACCCTAAATTACTTACTCGTATCTTTGGAATTAAAGTTCTAATAGTCTCATGAGAATAAACATATGAGAAGTCCTGGGATTTAGCAGCTGGGAGACTAAATGCCTTTGGAAAGAACATGTCAGTAGTCATAGGGAGAGAAGCCAGATCAAAAGGAGGTTCAGGAAAGACTAGCCATGGTAAGGAACAGGAACGGTCAACCTCAGACTGGTCACATAACCAATTCTGCATGGGGGGGGGGGGGGCGATGCAACAGAAATCAGGTGGTCTTTTTTCAAAATAGTGTGGCCACTTTTGAAGATAATGATGGGACAAATTGAAAATGCTAGAGACCAGGAGGGATAGTAGAAGGAATGTCTCCTTGGGGCTAATATGGAATTGCCCAGGGAGGGAGAGGAGGCTTCAACTCTGAAAGAGGAAGGCTAGTCCCTGCTGAGGCTACAAGGCTGGATGGCACAGACCTGCGGCCTGAAAATGAGGGAGTAGAGTAGATAGCAGGCCCCAGCCTCAGACAAGAGCTTTTTTTCTAGGGAGCAAAGATGAGGTACCCACAGAAGTACCAGACACCCCATATGGTTAGATTGTTGGAGGCATACAGGGGTACCAAGAAGGGACAGATTACTGCTATTCTGCATTTGGCAGTGCAGACCTCTTGGAGGAGGAGAGCAGACTCCCATTTCTTCCCTCCCTTAATTACATTCAGCCCTGAGCCTCCTAGTTAACCTTCTCTGATCTGGGCTCCCCAGCCCCCTGAGGTTCCCCCATCAAGGACCCTGGCCATGTGTCTTTAGGTACATTATCTGCAATGCCCCATTGCCCTGTGGTGCGGCCTCAACCATTCCCTGGTGCTGAGCCAAGGCTCGGACTTCAGCAAGGAACTTCTGGGCTGCGGCTGTGGGGCTGGAGGCCGCCTCCCCGGCTGGCCTAAGGGGAGTGCCTCCTTCGTCAAGCTCCACGTCAAGGTCAGAGCAGAGTGAGGCAACGGGCAACCAGCGGGGGCAAGAGTAATAGAGCCAGGTAGCTCATATGACTATAGCTGGGACCCCTACAGGGACCCAGTGGTCCCATTTCCTAAGCACCTTCCAACTCCCTTTCCAGCCACTCCATGGCTCTCTCCCTTAGCAGACCCTGCTGGCCTTGTCCAACCTTGCATACCTTGGCAGAGAGCCAGCTGTAGCTCACTTGCTGGCTCAGGGCTGGTCTGAGAGGGTGAATATAACAGTGGATTAGCCCAGCTTTCTAGGAGCCAGGAGCATAACCCACACCCCTTCTTTCCTCCTAGGTTCCTTTGTGTGCCTGTTCCCTCTGCTCCACCAGAGAGTGCCTCTACATGCTGTCTAGCCATGACATTGAGCACTACCCTGCCTATAGGGACCTGCCAGCCAGCAGGGTCGTGGGGAGCCCTGAACCCAGCCTGGGGACTGGAGGCCCCCAGGACCCTGGGGGGGCAGCCCGGGCCTGTGAGGAGTACCTCAGCCAGATCCACAGTTGCCCCACCTTACAGGACCGCATGGAGAAGATGAAGGAGATCGTGGGCTGGATGCCCTTGATGGCCGCACAGAAGGATTTCTTCTGGGAGGCCCTAGACATGCTGCAGAGGGCTGCTGGTGGTGTTGGCCCAGGCCCATCAACCCCTGAGAGCTGATTCCCCTCTCCCAACCTCACCCCTGGAGGGAGTCTGGCCCTGGGCCAGGGGCTAAGGAGAGATGGAGTGGTGGCAGTGAACACTGTGTGCATGTGGGGATGGGTCACAGGGGGTAGGGCAGGGAACTCTTTTGTAAAATGTTCAGGGGGCTGCCCAGGAGGGGCCTCCAGTCTGACTATCATGGACAAGAGATTTGATGGACAAATAGAATAAAAGGCTGAAGCGAGGCCCCGTTTGGAACCCTGGAGCCTGGGGGGGATTGGGCAAAGGATGGGGACAGTGCCCACCCAGTGGATAAAGGAGGGCAGGAGCAGCTCAAGCTCTGTTGCTTAAGAGCTGATGGCACCTGAGTCCTCGGCTTTACTCTCAAGACTTCACCAGGTCTTTTTGACTTTGAAGCCCTGGCCCCACTTTCAGGGACAACTCAGTCAACATACACTGCTTAGTCCCCCAGTTTGGATCCTCTCTACAGGTGTTTTCTCCATCCTTAGGGGCCACTTCTGACTCTGTAAAGCTCCCTTACCCCCATGGCCCTAGTTCCAGGGAAGTCAGTCCCCTCCTCTCTCGCTCCTGTTTTATTCCCAGGCCTGGTCTCCTGTATCCTTTCTTTGCCTTATTTACTACTCTTTCCCTTCTTTCCTTAGTAAGAGGGACACTCCATGCCTCCAACTCTCTTGTACCTCAGTTATTTGAAGAGAGAATGGGTGTGCAGAATTCTTCCTCCCTGGCCTGTCAGGTCCAGAGATAGAGGGAAGGCCATAGAAATGTGTGGTAGAAAGCTGGCTAGGGCTGAGGGTGGCCAAGAGGCTAGAGAAATTATTTGGGTGGAAGACACAGGAAGAACTCATCTGGGTTCTGAGGAAGCAGGGTGTGTGGTGGGGAAGTATGGAACAGAGCCCCAGGAAGGTCCAGAGCTGTGCTTTCAAGGTACTCTGACATGGGACAGAGTGGGGTTCCAGATGACATTACTTCATGCATGGATGATACTCCCTCTGCCCCTCATTGCTCCACCTCCTCCTTAGGTCATGATGTGTACTAGACCTAGAGAGGCCCCAGGACTCACCACTGTCCCAGCTGTCTCCCTGTCCCGCCTTCCTGCCTCCCGCCCTGCTGGCCAGTCCCCACGCCCACACACCCGGTGCTGCCTCATCTGGCACTGATTATCCTGCTGCCGCCGCTGCTGCTGTTGCTGCTTCTGCTGCTGCTGAACTCAGCTGCTGCCTCCGGCTGAGGACCCCAGCACACTCCCCCCACCATGCTGTCTGCTGCCCCAGCCTCCCTTCTGGGGCCCCTACTTACGGCCTGGGCCCTGCTGCCCTTCTTGCCTCTTGCCCAGGGCCAGACCCCCAACTACACCAGGTAGGTCTCGGCATCTTCCAGATGGCTGGATTGAGCTTCAAAACCCTGACTCCTCTGGGGGTGCGGAGGCACGGTAATGCCTGTGAGTCTCTTGGGTTCTTCTGCTAACAGCCCCCCAGGTTTCCCACCACCACCACCCTATGCCTAAGTCCTCCCCCTCTGCTGCAGGAGCAGTCTTCCACTCCTTCACCCTCCTAAGTCTCCCCCACCAGCCAGACCCATGGCCCCCCATGAAGCTTGAAGTCAGAGCCAAGACCCCAACTTGCCTGGTAGCTGACATCTGGATTCCAGAAAGGAATCAGATTGTGGGGGGTTGAGGGGGTAATGAGCAGAGACTTGGGTGTCAGATACTTCTAGCCAGCAGAACAGGAGCAGGGCAAAGGTGGGAGCCCAGGGAGCCTGGTCTCCAGGTCCAACTGGAGGGCCTTTGCCTGCTGCCACTCCCGGCATCTCTCCGCCCCCTCCCCCCTACAGCCTCGTGGCTTGTCCACATCTGGAAGTAGTTAGGCGGCTCCTGTCCCGGATTGCCAGGCAGGGTAAGGGGGGAGAGTAGTGAGGAAGGGAGGCTGAGAAGGATTCCGGGAATTCCTGTTGGGGTGGGGGTGGGGCCTCTGGGGGGTTGGAGGGATGGTCCAGTTGCTGTTCCCACTTTTTTCTCATGTCTGCAGGAATCAGGAGTAGCAAGTCAGCCTGCTGAGGCTTCCTCAGGGTCCCTTTGGCCTCCCTCATCACCCATCCTCCCATTATTAACCCATCCCTATCTCAACTACTTCCCACTCCTGACACCTCTTCTGTTCTCCAGACCTGTGTTCCTGTGCGGAGGGGATGTGACTGGGGAATCGGGTTACGTGGCAAGTGAGGGCTTTCCCAACCTCTACCCCGCCAATAAGGAGTGCATCTGGACAATAACGGTGAGAAAGCCCTTCTGATCACTGTCCCCTTATCAAAGTCTCCCAGACAAGAAGTGCCCCCTGCCAAGCACCACCTTCCAAGCGCTGCTCTCCCTCTGCTCACTGAGGGCATCTAGTCCTTACAATAACAAGTGCCCTGCACTTTATTTATTTTAGTTGTAAACAACATGCCGCCTTTTTTTTTTTTAATGTGGTGCTAAGGATCAAACCCAGTTCCTCACATGTGCTAGACAAGCGCTCTGCCTCTGAGCTACAGCCCCAGCCCCTGCACTTTAATTCTTAATTCATATCTCGAATCCTGATTCCCTACTCCCAACTTCCTTTCTGTCTATGCTAATATCTCCTGAGACCATAGGCTGTTGCAGAGCCCAGACCCTTTGCTCTGCACCTGAATGAGGTCCCTTCTAGTCCAGGCCATTTCAGTAGAAAATGCTTGTGGAAGGGGAGATGCCCTCTGTCAGGGTTGTGTGTAGTCTGACTCTGTGGGTCCCCTGCCTCCGGCGCCACCATCAGGTCCCTGAGGGCCAGACTGTGTCTCTCTCCTTCCGAGTCTTCGACCTGGAGCTGCACCCCTCCTGCCGTTATGATGCTCTGGAGGTCTTTGCTGGATCTGGAACCTCTGGCCAGCGGCTTGGACGCTTCTGCGGGACCTTCAGGCCAGCGCCCCTAGTCGCCCCCGGCAACCAGGTCACCCTGAGGATGACAGCCGACGAGGGCACAGGAGGACGAGGCTTCCTGCTCTGGTACAGCGGGCGGGCCACCTCCGGCACCGGTGAGCCTCCCTCACCTCCGCCTCCCCCTCCTGGCCCCGCCCCGTGCAGGTCCCGCCCCAGCCCTAACCTCAACCCTCAGAGGACCCTGCGCCTTGAGCCTAGGGCCACCAGTACTCTCTTGCCCTTTCTCCTCACTAACCGCCCCTTCAGTCCCTCCTCCCGGTCTTCTCTCCCCCTCCCGCTCCCACCCACCCCTCTTCCAGGCCCCCCCCCAGGCTCGAGGCGGAAATGGGTCATGGACCCGCGGGTGGAATGGGCGGCCTGGGGTTACTGGGACGGTGAGTAACTGCCCGCCCCCGTCCGCAATCGGGCTCCTTCAGACGGGCGCGAGGGGGCATCCCAGGGCTGGGGGACTAGGTTCCCCCGACCTGGAGTTCCCTACACCCAGCCCTGAGCTCCCGATTGCGGTCCCATCACCCGCTCCTGGCAGCAGAAATTCCCTGGAAATGTTTCAGGCAGGGACCTCCCAAAAGAGGCCAAGTAGAGGGCACCCTCAAAGCGTGGGGGCTCTCCAGCCTGCAGAGGGGACTCTTCTGCCGGGTCGGGGAGATGGGATCTCCCAGGGGAAGAGGCACGGTGTGGCAGTGGGTAGGGGAGGGGTAAGAAGGGAGCACATCCAGCCAGTTCCTGCCCGCCTCCAGGGCCCTGTGGCCCAAGACTGTCCTGCTCCTCCCAGCCCCTCTCTGCTAACCTCCCCCCTCTCTCCTGCCCTGATTCTTGTCCACTCATCCTGAGACCCAGACATCCGAGCTGCCTGCCGGCTCCCAGCCTAGAGCTCTCCTGGAGCTGACTGAGGGTTTCCACCGCCCCCCACCCCCGCCCCTCTCTCCCCTCCCCAGAGCACCAGTTTTGTGGGGGGCGGATGGAGAAGGAACAGGGAACCTTGACCACGCCCAACTGGCCAGAGTCTGATTACCCCCCGGGCATCAGCTGTTCCTGGCACATCATCGCACCCCCAGACCAGGTACTGCATCCTAGTCCCAGCTGCCCAAGGGGACCCAGGCAGCATCCTCCAGCATGCAGCCAGTGAAGATTTATTTAACATTCTGTGTCTGGAGCCCCAAACTGGGGATCAAAACCAGACCCAGACCCTGCTTGCATTCAAACAAAAGCTAAAACTACAAACTGTGACAAGTCTTAGGAGAGCTAGGTACAAGGTGCTAGCAAACTGTGTAGTGCTACACAGGTGGGAGTCTCTCCCTAGTGAGCAGGTGATGGACACCCCTGCAGGGTACCGTGGGAGTGGAGTGCATGACCTTCCGAGCAGGAGCAGCAGTGAGAATGCCTTAAGGAGGGGCTCAGAGGGCTGCAAGGAGTGGACAAGACTCCAGTAAGCACCTGGGAGGCACCAGGAGCGGTCCCCCAGCACAGCCTTCACCTCCACCAGGTGATCACACTGACCTTCGGGAAGTTTGACCTGGAGCCAGACACCTACTGCCGCTATGACTCGGTCAGCGTGTTCAACGGAGCAGTGAACGATGATGCCAAGAGGCTGGGAAAGTTCTGCGGGGACACATCCCCTGGGTGAGGGGGCAGAACCTGGGTGGGCAGTGGCCAGGGCATCTTCACTTCACTGGGTGAGAGTCGCTTCTCTGGGTGAGTCAGCTCGGCTTGGCCAGGGCTTTGAGGGACGGAACTCGGCTGAGGGGTGGGATCTGAGCTCCTGGGCTCCAAACCAGAGCAAAGAACAAGTAGTGGACAAGGAGGAGGCTTGGTCTGGGGTCTGTGGATCCAGAGACTAGGAGATGAATGGGGATTCTAATGCAGACAACTGAGGAGCAGAGATCAAAAGGCCACCAGACTGGGAGGGAGAGGGGTGCACAGCCTGCTCTAATACCTCCTGATGGCCCACTGCCCGCAGCCCCATCTCCTCAGAAGGTAATGAGCTTCTGGTCCAGTTCGTCTCAGATCTCAGTGTCACCGCCGACGGCTTCTCAGCCTCCTACAGGACCGTGCCACGAGGCACTGCTGAAAAGGGGCCAGCCCCAAACCCAGGGAAGGACACCAGGCCAGGTCCCCCATCTCTAGGCCCTGGCCCAAAACCTGGAGCTAGGCCCAAAGTCAAGCCACCCACCAAGCCCAAACTCCAGCCTGGGGAGAAGTCAGAGGTCTCACCTGAAGCCCAGGCAACTCCACTGGGCCCTGGTGAGTCTAGGAAGGGTGAAAAAGAGGATGTGAACTGAACAGAACTGTTTCAAAAAGTTCTTCCTTAGCCGACCTATGACATACGTCTGTAATCCTGACTAATCCCAGCAACTAAGGAGGATGAGGCAGGAGGAATGCCAAGTTCCAGGCCAGCCTTGACAATTTAGTGAGACCCTGTCTCAAAAATAAAAAGGGCTGGGGATGTAGCACCCCTGGGGTCAATCCCCATTACCAGCTGGGGGAGGGGGTAGTTCTTCCTTGGCTTGTTTATTCAGCACTCACTAGAGCCTCCTTCCTGCCAATGGCTGGTATTGGGTGCTGGGAACCAAAGGTGAAGAGAGCTCTGAAGGGGTTCAAACCTATGGTACTGTTATGGGGAAAAGTGGTCCTTCCATACTTGCTGGGTAGGTCACCTTCCACAAACAGTACCCCTCCCTCCTAGATACACCCAGTGTCCCTTGCCCAAAGCAATGTCGGAGGACAGGCACACTGCAGAGCAACTTCTGTGCCAGTGATCTTGGTAAGAAGACCCATCTCCCTCCCCTGCCCTTCCAGCTCCTCTAACTATAGTCCCCTTCTGGTTTCACACCTGCCCTGCCCTCCTGTCTTCTCATCTCTCATTCCCATTCTCCCACAGTGGTGACTGCAACAGTGAAGTCCATGGTTCGGGGTCCAGGAGAGGGTCTCACTGTCACTGTCAGTCTCATTGGTGCTTATAAAACTGGAGGACTAGACCTGCCCTCTCCGCCCACTGACACCCCCCTGAAGTTTTACGTGCCCTGCAGGCCATGCCCCCTCATGAAGAAAGGTAATAGAGATGGGAATGGGAAAGGGGGCACTTAGCCACATTAAAATGATAGGCATGGAATCTTGAGAATACACCCTGACAAGGTACCAGCAATGTGAGTTCTCAATCCCACCCTTCCTCCCCCAGGACTCAATTATCTGATTATGGGCCAAGTGGATGAGAATAGAGGTCCCATCATTCCTTCAGACAGCTTCGTGGTTCAACACCGGCCCAGCCAGGACCAGATCCTCACCAACCTCAGCAAGAGAAAGTGTTCTTCCCAACCTAGGCAAGCTGCAGAGTCTCAGGCCTGAGAGCCAGGCCAGCTGCAGCCCCAGGTTCATGTGCTGTCTTTCTTATCCAAATAAATGTTTCTCAACTGAGGAAGGTGTTGTATGTCCCTTTCTGTCACTTAGGGGCTCACCTTGGAGATTTCCTTCATTCATTCCACAAGTTTTTACTGTATAATCTTTTAGGAATGAGCCAGGCTTGCTGGGGATGTGGCTCAATGGTAGATGCTTGCTTCCTTGGGGTAAAATCCCCAGCACACACACACAAAAAAAAAAAAAGAAAGAAAGAAAGAACTATACTTGGGTGGCACAAGCCTTTAGTCCCAGCTATAGGGGAGGCTGAAGCCAGAGGATCACAAATTAGAGACCAGCCTGGGCAACTCAGTGAAATCCTACCTCAAAATAAAAAGGCTGAGGATGTACTTTAGTGGTAAGATGCCCCTGAGTTTGATCTCCAGCACCACAAAAATAAAAAGGGCTAGGAGGAAAAAAAGCCTGAGCATGTAGCTCAGAGGTAGAGCACCCTGGGTCCAATCGCAATGTGGGGGTGAGGGGGTATGGGGAATAAGTCCTATCACTCCTTTGCTCAAAACTCTCTTGATGGTCCTCAGGATAAAATGCAAATTACTATCCTAAGTTCTAAGTTTCTTGGTATTCTACATCCTCTTTTCCACCTTATCTCATCTCTTCTGTCTCCCTTATGCCTTACGGTTCCTTGCCTATTTTTTTCAGTACTGGGGATTTAACTCAGGGGAGCTTTACCATTGGGCTCCATCTCCCAGCCTTTTTATTTTTAGACAGGGTCTCACTAAGTTGCTGAGGTCGGCCTTTAACTTGCAATTCTCCTGTCTCAGCCTCTGGAGTCAATGAGATTACAGGCTTGCGCCACAGAGCCGGGCTTTCATTGCCTACTTCTAATACACTTCTTCAGGCTTTGCTGTTTCCTTTTTCCAGAATTCTCTTCCATAAATATCTTAATCAGACTTCTGATCAAAGTTCATCCTAGTCTTTTATTCATTTATTAATTCCAAATGCCAAGGACTGTTTAAAGATACAGGAGAAAACAAAAGTCCTTTCTATAATAAGAACATTCTATTGGAGGAGAGAAAAATATGTCAAGTGGCACTATATGTGTTTATAAAAGGAAGCAAAAGTATAAGGGGACAAAGAGGGGCGGGGTTCTACTTGTTGTAAGGTGCTCCAGGAAGGCTTTCCCAAAAGATCAACTTAAGTTTTTCCTCCACTAATAATGAGTGGCGTACGATGAAATTCTTTACCTTGTCAAGGCTGTGTCCTCGTCTGCAAAAAGAAATTAAAGATTCGATGGGATGACGTAAGCGGCGGATTCGGCGAGTCTTAATTCCCTGAGCAAATATAAGTGATTTCCCAGGCCCGAGCAGGAAGGGAAGCGATCTAGCGATTTGGGGAGTCTGAGGGTGGAGGGAGGAACAAAGCCCTGCACTCAGCCCCGCTCCGCCTCCCAGAGTTACTTCGGGACTCCAGTGAGAATAAGAGATGCCCTAAAAGTCTTACGTCGCTAGGGTTAATCCAATCACCTGCGCCAGGTGTCTGTGAGGCCTTTAAGGGCACCAATCAGGGTAAAGTTAGGCGGAAATGAGGCTGTCATGACCAATGAGAGAGGTCGTACGGCGGAAGTGTGAAAAGGGACTCTCCGGAAAATGGCGCCCTCAGTCTGGCCACATCTGATTGGCAGGTGCTTTGACCACAAGGTGATCATCATAGCACGAGCGGCCGTTCGGAGACGGAAGCTCGACGGGCACTGCCGAGGTCGGGGAGGGATTGTAGATACAGGTGTCCCGGAGAGCCGGGGGCGTAAAGGGTAGTTCCAGATGTGGCCGCTGTGGCGGGCGGAGTCTGGCCAGAGAGACTGGGCGGGAGCCCTGAAGAGTCCGGAAGAGGCGGGGTCTGAAGCGGGGCAGGGATAAGGAGATCGCTACCCGGGCCGGAAGAAAAGGACCGGATTGGGAGCCACGAGGGGTAGGGTTTGGCGAGGTAGGCGTGGCCGTCGAGGTGAAGCTTGGGGGCGGGACCAGAACTGTGAAGGGGAGGTTTGGGGGGGCTTGGGCCTGGGTCTGCGAGAGCCGCATCCAGCGGGGTTTCGAGGTGGCAACGGAATCAGTCCAGGCCTTACGCAACGATCTAGTCTTGTCCTCTTTCGTCCCTCGCGCCCCCAGCCACAGACTCCAGGCCCTGCCCCCTGAGCTCTGCCCTCGGATGTCCGACCGCCAAGAGCCTGCATGCGCCGTGGGGCGCCCCAGGACCAGGAGCTGGTGGGTCCGGGGGCCCCTGGGCGGGGGTCCCGGGGCGCCCCTCCTCCCTCAGGATCCGTTGTCCCGGTCCTCGTCTTTCCCCCGGATCTAGTATTCAGGGCGGACCAAAGGAGTGGACCCCGGCAGCTGCTGACCCTCTATAACCCCACAGGAACCGCGCTTCGCTTCCGAGGTAAAGGAATGGGCATCTCGTGCTTGGGATCTGGGGGCTGGTGGAAGGACATTCAGGGGTTGTCCTTCAATGGGCTCGTTGTTGGGCTGGAAGAGTCAGATGAGCAGGACCAGATGCCCACCCTTGGCGACTAGAAGAATCCTAACCATTCCTGGCTGGAATAGAAGGCAGAGGGAACGCTGGTTACACCGGGGCCAGACTTGTTTAGGGTCTCTTTGTATGCCTTTATCCCACAGTCCTGTGTACAGCACCTGCCAAATACACGGTTTTTGATGCAGAAGGATATGTGAAGCCTCAGTCCTGCATTGACATGTGAGTTGGGAGTTGGGGAGGCTGATGGAAGCCAGGGGTCGCTGCCACTTATTATCTTAGGTCTGAGACCGTGTTTTCCTGAAATTGTTTTCCCCACCTTCTGTGTCCCTAAGGGAAAGGCTTCTGGGGAGGAGGCCTGGATTTACTTAAATTTCTATTTCTCATTCACTTCCTCCCGATGGGCTTTTCTCCTGTCTTGGAGCTAGTGTGATTCGCCATGTGGCCCCCATTCCCAGCCACTATGACATCCAGGACCGCTTCCGCATTGAGCTCTCTGAGGAAGGGACCGAGGGCAGAGTGGTGGGACGCAAAGACATCACCTCAGTTCTGCGGGCCCCAGCCTATCCCCTTGAACTTCAGGGACCGCCCCAGCCAACACCCAACCCAGAGCCTCCTGCCTGGACAGCACCACCCATGACAAGACACTTGCAGGAGAGTGAGTTGGAAGACGGGGATTCTTGAATTCTGTCTGGAGGGAGGAACTAGCATTACTTTGGAAATGAGCTAAATTGAATTTGAAGAAGTTTCCTGGTCCAGTGTTTTTTGCCTTTTGATGAAAACATTTCTAATTGAGATTTTGTATTAAGTAAGGGGAAGAAAGACTACAATTTCTCTGGTTTCTGGTTTCTACTTAGAGTAAAGAGTTCTTCCTTAGCTCTATCGTACTTCCTATCAGGTGTCAGCTCAATTCAGTTCAGCAACAGACCTCTATGGAGCAATTCTGCTGGTCTGCATTGTGTATGGAAGACAGTAATGAGGCAGAGGGAAGAAAGGGACCAAAGTTGAGAGGGTTAGGGGACTGTCAATGCTGATGAGCCTTGTTTCCCAGACCCCCGCCAGCAACTGGCCACCAGCTCCTTCCTCCTCTTTTTGATGACCGGCATTGTCTCTGTGGCCTTCCTGCTGCTCCCACTCCAGGATGAACTTGGCAGCCAACTGCCACAAGTCCTGCACGTCTCCCTGGGACAAAAATTGGTGGCAGCCTACGTCTTAGGTGAGCAAGTAGTAGTGTGACCTAGGCCCACTTGTAGAGAAAGGGGAGCAGGGGCCGGGGGAGGACTGCTCCTGGGACTTTCTCTTTCTTTTTCTACCTCCAGGCCTCCTCACCATGGTGTTCCTGCGGACCTGAGCTTCCTGCTCAACCCCAACCTACCATCACCTCCCCAGGCAGGGACCTGAGGCAGCCACTGTGATGCACGTACCTTGCCTCAATCCTCTTCTTCTCATCTGTTCCCCAACTCCCACCAAGAAAAATACCCAGGGATTTGTACTCATTTTCCAAGTTGAATAAAATGGATTTTTAAATGAGAAATGTAGGGTACTTGCTCCTAGCTTTCCACTCCTTCCTTGATGCCCTGATATCTTTCTGCTCCTCTCACTCCCTTTCCCAGGGGATCCAGGAGCTTGGGGCAGTGAAGAGGCCTAGTGGGGATTTAGAAGACCTGAGCTAATCCTGATGTTTCCTCCAAAAGACCATGTGACCTTGAGCAAGTCATTTAGTTTTCAGAGCTTTGGTTTCTATACCTCTAAAATTAGGGCATTGGGCAAGTTGATTCTCTTGTGTGTGAGCATGTGATGCTGAGGACTGAACCCAGGTCTTCGTGCATGTTAAATATGTACTCTCCCACTTTACCAAGTTGATTCTTTTCTTTCTTTTTCTTTTTTTGGTACCAGGGATTGAACCCAGGGGCACTTAACTACTGAGCCACATCCCCAGCACTAATTTGTATTTTATTTAGAGACAGGGTCTGACTGAATTGCTTAGCACCTTGATTTTGCTTAATCTGGCTTTGAACTCATGATCCTTTTGCCTCGGCCTCCTGAGAAGCTGGGATTACAGGTGTGAGCCACCACGCCTGGCTCCAAGTTGATTCTTAAGTTACTCTTTAGGCTGGGGGTGTCACACTATCATCCCCCCCCCCCAAAAAAAAAAGTCTTTTGTCCTACCATAGGATCCTGTTCTCCAAGCCAAACTGCCTAACTTAATATGAAACAAACAGAAATGTCACCTAATCCTGCCTGATGCAAAACCCACATCTCACCAGAAGGATCTCTTGCCTGGGTTACCCACATGCTTACAGTCCCCAGAATCCTTTTCTGCCTCTGTGACCTTTATTTGTTCTCATTTTATCTCTCCTTTAATATTTCAACTCCCATGAATAAGAAACACCAAGGTCCCTGCCAAGATGGTGAGAAATGGCATTGCCTAATATAACCTCACTCTAACCAGGCAGAAGAAACTACAGCACAGGAAAATATAAAACCAGATCCTCAAAAAGTAGCTTCCAGCCCACCTGCCCTCCTTCAGATGCTGAAGGAGAGGGGAAAGGGAAGAGGGGGGACTCTGTGACACTGGGCAGATTGTTGGTTAGGGACAAAGAATCAGTAAATGTTTATTAGACAGACTGAGTCTGTTACACCCCTGGAAGGTGATCTGTTGTTCCAGTTTTGCCCTAGAAGTCTTGTCCCTCCCATATCCTGAGCTGGCCACAGTGAGGTGTGGCCCCATAAGTGTACAGAAAATGGACCCAATGTGTGCCGAAGCACACCTCCCATGGCTCAGGAAACCCCTCTCACCGAGTTACATGTGTGGATGATTGCCATTAGTACTGTAGGGGCTGGGCCTGGGCCCCCAAAATGCAGTTGAGCACAGATTAATGGTTCTTGTGTGGTATGTACCTGTAAAGAGGACTGACGGCCAGTGGGACCCAGAAAGCTTCCAGAAACGCAGCTGTGAAGGAATGGGATGGAGGCCAGATGGGCTTGGGACATAGACTGCCTTTTAAGCAAACTTTTTAGAAAACAATACTGAGCTTGCAGCAGTTGGAATGGGAAAGTGTTCATTTCCTGTAGCTGCTGTTACACATCATGATAGTGGCTTTAAACAGCATAAATTGGGATTGGGGGTGTAGCTCAAGTGCATGAGTGGACACTTAGCATGTGTGAGGTCTGGAGTTCAATCTCCATCATCAGAAAAAACAAAAGCATAAATTTATTTTCTTACAGTTCTAGGGGCCAAAAATCCAAAATGAGGCTTCTGGAGCTAAAATCAATGTGGTTGCAGGGATGCATTTCTCTTAGAAGCAACAGGGAGCATCTGTTTCCTTGCTCTTTTCCAGCTTGGAGAGTCCACCTGTGTTCCTTGGCTCATGGCCTTTCCCTCCATCTTTTTTTTTTTTTTCTCCCACTGCTCGGAATGGAACCCGGGGCCTCACCTCCGCTAGGCCTCACCTCTGCTAGGCTAGTGCTCTATCCCTGGTGCCTCTTTGTGTGTCCAGATTTCCTCTTATGAGGACACCAGTGAGATTGGATTGGATTTTAACTTAGTCACTTCTTTAAAGTTCCTATATCCAAATATCATCACATTCTGAGGTTCCAGGAGTTAGGGCTTTAAGATGTGAATTTGGGCCAGACACGTGATGATGCATGCCTGTAATCCCAGTGGCTCTGAAGGCTGAGGCAGGAGGATCACAAATTCAAAGCCTGCCTCAGTAACTTAGCAAGCCCTAAGCAACTCAGTGAGACCCTGTCTCTAAATAAAATTCAAAAAGGGCTGGAGAAGTGGCTTAGTGGTTGAGTGGCCCTGTGTTCAATCCCTGAGGGGGAGGGGGGAAAGTGAATTTGTGAGGCACAAATTGAGCTCATAACACTCCCCATCTCTTAAATCTTAGTCACATCATCATGCAAGATGACATTCTTTTTCAGGTTTCAGGGATTAGGAAGTAGGCTCCTCTGCTGAGACCATTATTCTGTCTGCTGTAAGGAACAAAGAGACAAGGGGAAGAAGTGGGGCCATTTAGGAAGTTTTCTCTGGAGTGTATGTCTGGGAAGCAAATAGTTGAGATTTAGAGTCCCCAGAATCCACCAAGTCAGGCTCATGGGGCTAAAGAGGGCAGTTTCATCCTGAACCCAGAAGGGGCATCCCAGACCTTAACCTCAGTGGCCACTATTTCCCAGTGTCCTGAGGAGCTAGGTGAGGTGTCTCATGCTATGCTGGGAGCAGATGACCAGGAGATAGGCCCTAAGATTATATCACTGCCCAGGGAAAAAGAGTCAGGCCACTACCGTGCCTCCAGAAGCTGTGACTAAAAAGAAAAAGGCACCAGCATTTACAATCCCCTGCCCTCTTGTAGCTCAGACTTTGTCAGTGGACAAAGATTGGCCAAAGGCAATTCCAGGGACAGATGTCCAAGGCAGGGCCAATCAAGCAGGTGTGTGACCATTAGTCTTCCAGGACCCATTCTCATAAGGGAACCCAGTATTTGGAGTTTATGCTCTGAAGTTGCTGTCTGAAAAATTCTTTTTTTTTTTTTTTTTTTTTTGTACTGAGGATTGAACCCAGGGGTGCTTAATCATGGAGCCACATCCCCAGCCCTTTAATATTTTTATTTAGAGACAGGGTCTTGCTAAGTTGCTTAGGGCCTCATTGCTGAGGCTGGTTTTGAACTTGTAATCCTTCTGCAAGTTCTCCTCCTGAGCTAGCCACCTGGAAATTCTTTTTTTTTAATATTATCATTATTATTATTATTTGTATGTGGTGCTGAGGATTGAACACAGTGCCTCGCATGTGCTAGGCAAGCACTCTACCACGGAGCTACAACTCCAGCCCCTGGAAATTCTTTGTGTGTACACCAGGGATTGAACTCAGGGGCACTCGACCACTGAGCCATATCCCCAGCACTATTTTATATTTTATTTAGAGACAGGGTCTTACCGAGTTGCTTAGTGTCTTACTGTTGCCGAGGCTGGCTCTGAACTCTCAAATCCTCCTGCCTCAGCCTCCAGAGCCACTGGGATTACAGGCGTGCATCACCATGCCTGGCTGGAAATTCTTAATATCATCTTGAATTTATGTTTTAGAAGGAAACCATTGCTACATGTGCAATTTTATTTACCAGTTGTTGTGTGCATAGTGGACGAGTGCTCATGTGGAATATCTAGTCCTTCTATATATGTAGAATTGCTTGATATATTTAAAAGTAGTAGTAGAATAAAACTATAAACACCTTTTAAAAAGAGAGAGAGAAGTGAAGTGAGCTGGAGCGTATGCTGAGACACCTGCATCCCAGGGGTGAGTCTTTGCTGACCCCCCTGCCCCTACCAGGGATAGCTGCCATCTTCCTTTCCCAGCAGGGGACTGGGCACAAGAACAAGGAAGGTCAGGGTTAGGCACACAGGTTCTTTCTACCAAACTGGAGCAGAAGCCTGGGTACCTGGGAGGGTCTGCACTCACGCTAAGCATCTCTATGCCAGAGTGTGACAAAACACCCAGACAGGTGGAGACTGTGGGAGAATAAAGCGCTGTTTCCACTTTTTGAACAAAAGTCCCTCATTTTCACTGTGCACCAGGCCTTGCAAATAATGTAGCTGTCCCTGGTTCCAATGTCAGTCCTCCAGCCCAGCCCCATGGTGGTCTTCATCATTTGCTCAGGCAGTTTCCCAAGGTAACACACAGCTCAATGCTCCCAGTGGAGGCTGTGTCCTACTCACATCCTCTCTGACCCCTTCTGTTCCCCAGGTCTCAAGGGAGGGGTAGGCGGGGAAGGGGGACAGGAGGAAGCATAAAGTGCTTATGAATAACATATAACCAGGTGGTTTATTGCCATCCGAACCGGTGCCCCTCCCGCCACAAACCACCTGTTGGCCCTAAAGCTGTCTCTCCCATTAAGGGAACTGGCCAGGTCCCAGAGCCCAGCAAAGCTCTCAGAGTGGGTTCTGGGTACTGGGGACCCTGCTCCTGAAATGGAAAGGAGGCTGTGATGGCCCCAAAGGATGCTGCTCACCGTCGCACGACGGATGAGCTATTCATCTGCACTGTAGGACCAGGGGTGTGTGGGTGTCTGCGCAGAGCCGGTGGAGAAATCGGATGGGTTAATGAGAAATCGGTCGCAGTGAGAGGTACATGGGTCACCTCCTTCGCCCTGCACCACTCAAGCAGGGAGATCAAGATTCCTCAGCAGGGGTCAGGAGCCTGTGGGGTTCCAGGCAGGCCTCAGAAGTTGTTATCAATGTTCCAGACGTCTCCTCCAAGCGCGTTGGCTGCCCCCTGTAACGTCCAGGTAAGCAGGGCCAGCTGGCGCCGGAAGCGGCTCTCCTGGAAGCCCAGAGCCTGGGACAACTTGGGGGAGGCCCCGGAACTGTTGGAGCGCAGCAGCTGCAGGTGGTCGAGCAGGGCGCCCAGCGTGTGGTCTCCATGGCCCAGAAAGATGTGTCGGAACGGGAAGTCGGCCGGCGACACGTACTGGGACAGCAAGTAATACTCCACCTGCACCAAGAGGAAATCAGGTCGGGGTGGGGACCCTGTGCCCAGGGCGAAGGTGCCAACCACGCCTCCCTCCAGCAGTTCCTAGCGGACCTGGGGACCCAGTGCCTACTTCAAAAATATTGTCCAGCGGCTTCCTTAAGGCCCACCTCCCTTTAGCTGTCCAATCATGAGCAGCCATCCTGTGACATCACCAGCAGCCGGGGAGGATGCCTCCTCCAGCTGTGCTGGGTTCTGTTCTCGTCGTTCTATGCCCAGCGCCCACAGCTGCGTCTAGATCGCCCCAGTCGCCCTCATCCATTCACGCACCTGCCCAAAGCCTCCTGCTGCCCTGCCGTTCAATACCGCACTCCCCCCACCGTCACTCTGCCCCGCCTCTGCCAATGTCCACAGAGCAAAGGTCAAGAGACAGCCCAGTCCTGATGAAGCACACTGTCATCTTCTGCCACAGTGCTGTTCCCTCTTTCCCCAGATGCTCTCACTCCTGGTCATTCTTCCACCTTTCTGATCCCGTCTGTGGGCAGATCTCAAGGTGTGATCTCCCTCTGTCCTTCTTTACCTATAGTCCCACGTTTTCAGCCCTGGATGGATGTTAAGAGTCACCCAGGGAAGGTTTTAAATCATCATTGCCTAGGCACCACCCCAGAAAAAAACAATCTCTACAGGGGACCTCAGATGCTCACATCTTTTCAAATGTATTTGCACACAGAGCTCATCTGTCTCTCTGTCTTCAAGGACCTCTGTGGGCACACTGCCAAATCTCCTCACCAAATCATCCACTGGAATCCTGCCCCACAGGATAGGGGCCACCTGGACATAGCCCCACTCACATACTAGAGCCAATCTCTTCCAAAACCTGAGCAAGTAATACCTGAGCAAGGTATAGCTCAGCGGGGGAGCACTTTTCTAGCACTCCTGGGGCCCAGGGGCCAATCCCTAGCACCACACAACAAAAACAAAAACCCTGCTTTATGTCCTCATTTTGCTAAGAGCATCGGTCTTCCCCAGAGCCTGGGCTCTCAACCTTGCAGGTGAGTGTGGGGTGGGTACAGGCTATGAGGTCAGATCACCTGGCCCAAATTTCAGCTCTATCGCTCTGTGTAACTTGGGTAGTTATTTAGTCTCTCTGAGTCTCATTATCTGCATACAATACTAGCAACCTCACTGGGTCTAGGAAGTTCTATTAGGCAAAGTGAAGTAAAGCCCCTAGCACATGGCAGCTTCTGTTCCCTTAATACCCTATTTTTCCGTCCAAATGCTTCACATCAGTCTGTCCACCTGCCATCCTCATCCAGAGCTCAGCCTTCTCAACCTCATTCCCTTCTCAGCCATTTACTCTCTGGTCAAAATCCTTTCTAAAAACTCCACTTTGCCCACATCATCTGCTGGCTCCAGATTTTCCTGATGCCCAGAACCAAAATCCAAACTTCTTATCCTGGCATTGGAGGCCTCCCACTGTTGACCCCTAAGCCACTCTCTGGGTTGCCACTCTCTTCCTCTGCCTCTCTAAAGGGCCTCTATTCTGGCTCTGCTGGTCCACCCTGTTTCCAAGGATGCCAGACCTGTTTTATTGCCACACCCTCGTTCTGGGTCTCTCCACCCTGAAATGTCCTCTTTTCTTTGAACCAACTGAAGTTCTGCCTGTTCAAGACCCAACTACTCAGCCCTGCTACTGTAGCGTGAAAGCAACCACAGACAATATGAAAAGCAATGAGCATTGCTGTGCTGCAAGAAAGCTTTATTTACAAAGCAGGCGCCATGCTGAATATGGCCTGCTGCCTATAGGTTGCCAATTGCTGGTTTAGAGCCACAAAATTCCTTGGGTCTAGCACAGCCCTGTATTTCTGGCTCTTAAGTCCTAGTCTTTTCCTTCGCCTCCCTAAGCCTGAGTCACGTTCCGCACACACAAGTGCTCTTTATCCCTTGATGGGGACAGGGGTTCGTCCTTGGAGTCTAAGGTATCAGAAATTAAACCAAGACCTACAAATGAGAACGAAACATGGCCAATCTCTTGGATCGCCCCAGGCCCACGTATATCTCAGTGGTGGGGACAGAGGGAAGTGGAGAATAAGGGATCAAGAGAGAAGGAAGAGGAGATCCTGAAGGCAAGGAGAAAGAGCAGGAAAGACAGGTTTGTAAACTGAATGAGTGACGCCAAAGGACATGGGCATTGGCACACCTGTGCTCATGTGGCGTACATTGTTGGCTTCCTGTTCACCCCACACTTGCTGAGTATGATCGATCCTACTTCTAGTTTTACCCTATAGACCTTTTCCCTGAGGGGTTGAATTCTTACGGTGAGAAAATGGAAGAATACGAACTGGAGACGGGTGGACTTCCAAGTATTCAAAGATACACAGGAGGGATTAGCGAGGGAATCAGCGCTTAACTTTTTCTTGACGCCTACTCCAAGCAGCCTCTCAGGATTCCACCCACCTCATTATCAGAAGAGAACGTTCCACCCTCCCAATTCTTTGGTCTTTGGCACCTCCCAGGCTATAACCCAGTGCCCCTTGTACTGTGGACTACGCTTTGTCCCTCCAAAGGGGCGGGAGAAGTAAGTGGGAACTGGGTTGGTCCCGCCTGTCCATTTCATCACTCTGCAGGGCCTGCCTCTGTGACCCCGCAGCTCCTCCAGCCTGGCTGGTCTGTGAGCACTATGTCCACAACAAGGCGCGCCGGGCGGACAGGGAAAGAGCAGCCAAGCGACGAACACAAGCTTGGAGAGCAGCGCGTGCGCTAAGGCAAAGGTGTCTGCGCAGCCACCGGAAAGGGACGGGAGGGGCGGGGCCTCACCCGCATGATGCGCACGTTGTACATGCGCATCAGCCTCTCGTCCCTCTCCTCTGAGCTGTAGATCTCCTTCCGCAGCTTCTCGGCCGCCCGGATGTAGTCTCCCCGCGCCGAGTACACCCACTGCAGGGTCAGCCCGCGGGCCTGAGGGCAAGGCGCGGGCTGGGGCCGAAGGCAGGGACCGGGACCCCGGCCTAGGATAGGGTCAAGGTGCCAGGGGACAGAGCTGGGACCTTGGGCCTTGCAGGATGGGAGAGGTATAGAGGAACAGAGGACTGGGGATAGGATGCAGGGAGAAGACCCTGGACATTTGAGGTTGGGAGAGGACAGATGCCTGGGGCTTGGAAGGTACCGGTTGTGTCCTCGGGGCTAGGATGACTGGAGGCAGGAGTCAGAGGACCTAGACTCCGGGGACTGAGTGAGGGGGGCTGAGGGGCTGGACCCCCTGACCTAGGCAGCACCCTATAAGGATAGAGCACCCCCAACCCCCAGAGGCTGGGAGCAAGGTTGGCATCTTGGACCTTGAGGTCCCCAGAGAATTCGTTGAGGCTGCCGATGTGCCGGAGGACCACGTCCCCATAGCGGCCGAAGTCGAAGGGCAGCAGGTGGTCGTGGCTCAGGCGGATGAGGAGCTGCCCAGCGAGCTGGGCCACAGCCTGGGCCACGGCGGGCAGTCGGCCTTGCAGCATCTTGTGCAGGTTTTCGTATGTGTCTTCCTTCGTGTGCAGGAATGGGTACGCCGGATCATCCTGCCGGGACAGGGAGGGGCTAGGGCCAGGGGCGTGCTTCCCACAAACCCAGGGATTGGTGCCCTGGAGCAGGGCCGGAAAGTCTCACCTCCAAGAAGGAGAACTCCACCGCAGGGACCCCGGCAAAGGCCGTGAAGGAATAGGCGCTGCTGTCCATGGGCAGCGGCCGGATCCTGGGGGCAGGTAGGTTGGGGGGCTCCGTGGGCTCAGGTTCCTCCCAACCCCCTGCTTCCCACCCCACCCCAACTTACACCTCGGCATCCCAGCTGGGATTGGTGAATACCACCTGCTCATAGAGAGTCTGCCCACTGTGGTTAGGAGAGTCCACCTGGGGGCAGGTGGGGGGGTGTGGTTAGGCCCCGCCCCCGCCCCGCAATTTCCCCTTATCCCTTCTTCCTGACCCATCTCTTGCCTGCTTCAGGATGTTCTCAATGAGGCTGATCAGCAGTGGGCTGGTCTTGGCATGGAACTTGTCGTCCCCTTGAAGAGAGGGGAGGGGAGGCATACCAGGTTTAGGAATGGGCCCAGGGGCCAGGGTGGGCCTGAGGGGGCCAGGTGGTGGCATTGCCCCAGCTCACCCAGCACTGCGTTATCCAGGCTCACGTAGGCTACAGCTTTGAGGTGCAGCACACTGAGGTAGCCCTGTGGGTGGGGGAAGAGTATGGAGAAGGAACCCACACCATACCTCTCCCCACCCCCTGGCTACCTGCCCGGATCCAAATCACCTCCAGCCACTCTGTGGAGCCCACACTCCCAAAGTCGCCTCCATCCCAGCTGATGAAGAGAAGACTTCTGCGGGGTCGGAAGCCTGGGATGAGGGGACAAGAAGGATGGGCTCTTCTGGGAACCACCAAAGATTCCCCTTTGTCTTCCTCTGTCCTAGTCCCCAAGGGGTCTCCTCTTCCCTCTCATCAACCCCCATCCCAGCCCATCTTTCCCTGCATCTGCCCTGACTTGACTATAATAGTGATGGGGATGATGCTGTATATGGAATTTCTGCTTAACTTTCCACTCAGACCCAGAGACACCATTATTTCATTTTTAGATGAAAAAATAGAGGTGAAATGACTTGCTTAAGGACACATGCTAGGCTGTGGAGGTGCCAGGTGTGGAGCCCAGGTCCCAGTGACCTCCCTCTGCTCTGAGCTCCCAACTGCCTTTCTGCCCCACCCCTGCAGCTGCACCCGACAGCTCTGCCCAGCCCAGGCCCAGGCCCTGACCTTACCATTGCTCACCATGGAGGAAAAGGTCCGCACCAGCTCTAGTAGTATGCCTGTCCCCACAGCCGACTTGGCTGCTCCTGGGCCCCATGCATCTCTCTGGGCCCCGATGACAACATAGTGATCTGGAAAGGATTTGTTTGGGTCCCACCTCTTACACTGGAAGTACCCAAAATCTTCCCCCCGCACCCCCGCTCCCACCTCCCGCATCCTCACCCGAGGCTCATCACAGGGCTCCTGCACCTCTCCCTGGTGCTTATCTGGGTGCTTAACAGGGCCACACTCTTCCCCAAGTGTCTGGTGCCCTCTTCTCCAGGTCAACAACCTACTTCGATTCCCCACCATCATGAAGTCGTATTTGGAATAGTCATCCAGCTAACTGGACCTCTTTTATGCTGAGTCTCAGTTATAAATAACCTGTCCATCCCACCTGTGTCTACTCACCTCCCAGGCTCAGGAGCTTACTCCCCAGCAATGCTCCCATTCTGTCTGTGGTCATGTGGGTTCCTCACTGCAACCCCCATCAGTCCCAGTTCAGCCTCCACTTGCCAGTCTCCCTCCCCTGGATACCCCTCCTGCTTCCTCTCCAGGGCCCCCTACATCTGCCCCGTGTGGCAGGGGTTATGAGCAAGGGCTCTGTTCCCACAAGCTGTGGGTGCTGGGCAAGGGAGACCCACCTGGCTCTGCCAGGCCCTCAATGCAGCCAAAGATGTTGCTGATGGGAGTGGAGGTTCTATGGTTGTTGACCTCTAGGTGCAGGCCTGGCCCGGGGCCCAGGCGATAAGGGGAGCCTGGGAGGCGCCCTTGCCATTCCTGAGGGGCCACAGGGCCTTTAAGCTTCCTGGAAAGGGATAGAGCAGAAAGGGTTAGAAGTGGCAGAAAGAGCTGTCCAGGCTATATAAGAACCCAGAGATCCCGCTTTACTCTCTCTCCCACCCTTGGCCTCCATGTCTCTGCCTCTGTACCTCATCTGAGGTGGGGGTAGCGCAGTCAGGGCAGCCGTGGGCAGTTGTACAGGTTGTGCCCTGCTCCAGGGTGCCCAGCAGAGATGGGTTTTGAAATCTAGTGAGAGCTCTATTTGCTAAATGCTGGACCCTAGTAAAACGTGTTCACTCAGAAAAGGAGTCTCCTTTTTTCTAGTTTGCATCCCGCTCTCTGCCTCCCTGTCTCCCCTCACCTTAGCAGGCGGAAGGCAATGTCTGCACTGATGGGCTGGGCAGGGATGCTGGGGAGGCCAGAGGATGCCACTGGAGGGAACTGGGTTTGGTTGAAGGAAGGGAAGCCAGGCGTATAAGGGTCACCAGTTCCCAGATGCACCTGTGGGAAAAGAGTGCCCATTCTGAAACTGGGCTGGGCTAGCCCCATTTCCAAGGACCTGTGGCCTGGACCTCAGGAAAGCACTACTGGCTTCCCCAGACTCACATGTCCATATACAGCCCGGTGGCTGGACAGGCTTGGCTTGTGTGGGTCCTGGGAGAAATCTGCTGGGTCAGGGTATATGAGCACTCCTTTGGCCCCAAAGTCCTGGGCACTGGCCACCTAGGGGAGGGTAGGAAAGCAAGGAAAAGTGAAATAGTCCCTTTGATCTGCTGCTGACCATCCTTAATGGGCCCTCCGAGGCATCGGCTGGCCTATCAGAGGGCCACAGTGGGTGTTCATCCTCGATGCCCCCCCTACAGACTCTAACCCCCCATCTGATGTCCACGAACCTCCCGATTTTGTGGCCACCAACATTTTTTTTTTATTCGAACTTGTCATATATGACAGCAGGATGATTGATCTTTCCTTTCTCCTTTTATAGCCTCTAGAAGCTTTCCATGGTTAGGTCAACCCCTGGGTTTCCCAGCCCGCACGCTCTGCATGCTGCCCGATCCAAGGACCCTTACCTTCTGGGCAAAGCTGGTCACCCCGACACGCACCAGCAGGAGGCTGTCGGTTAGCTCCACGCCCCTGGCCCGCAGGCCCTGCAGGTCTTCCGGTCGCCCGTAGTGGGCGTACACCAGCTTTCCCTGGGGACGCCAGGGACCGTGAGGCTTGCTGCCCGCATCTCTCCTCCGCGGCCCCGGGAAGTGCGCGCGCTGCTCCGCATGCTGGGGGTGGGCAAGAGGCGCTCACCGTGGCGTTGCCGGTGGCGCTGTAGGGACAGTAGGCGTCGGGGTCCTCCAGCGGCAGCTGCTCCCCGGCCCTCCCGGTCTCGTCGAGCCAGCGCAGAGTGTTGGGATGAGCCCTGAGGAGCGGGGGAGGTGAGCGTCTAGTCTAAGCGCACCCCCATCGCGCGCCCCCGCCCCCGCCCCGCGCACTCACAGGTCGGGGAACTGCAGCCCCACGTAGTGGGTGTCTGTCCACACGTGGTCCAGCTTCTGGTGGGAGAGCGCTGCAACGACGTCCTGAGCCAGGGCAGCCATCCCGGGGGAGCCGGCCACCCGTTGGCGAAGGCTGGTTTCCCTGAGTGGAGAGAGGTGAAATTGAGGCCCAGAAGGGGACAGGGGTGGTCCATCAGGAACCTGCAGGAGTGGGAAGGAACAGAGAAGGATGCCAGAGAAGTGGGGTCATCCCAGGGTAGGGCCAGTGAGGGGCTAAGTTTGGGGACTCTCCTAATGGATTGGTTCTCTCCCATCACCGCCAGGACTCTGCCCCCAGCCTCTCCAGGGCCTCCTACTCGACCTTAGCTTCCCATAGCCAGGGAGCCTGTCCACCATCCCTTAGCTTCTTCCTGGCTGTGACCAAACTCCTGGGTCCATGTTGCTTCCCCCTGCATGTGGGGCATGGGGGCACTGCCCGCAGGCACCTGCAGAGGCGGGCCTGTGTGCCCAGGCAGCAGACCCTGTTTTGCACCTCCTCCTTCACCTGGGTCTCCTGAAGACACTGCACCAAGGTTGGGACCCTTAATGTTGAATCACGTGGTCTACTGCAGACAGCACCTTCTGTCATAGTTTCCACCCACAGATTGTCACCTTAACTCTTACTGCTCTCCCATCTCACTGTCTGTTCTGGGCTGTCCCTGGCTTACCTGTCATCTGGCTCTAACTGTGCCCTCTGTGGCAAACAAAGTCCTGTCCCCATTGATCATCACAGAATACCTCTTCTACATCTGTCCTGGGCAGAGACCTGGCTCTTAGTTGAGTCCACAGAGGGACTTCAGAGAGCATGGCTCGGTTCTCATTGCCCTGGGTTTGCAGTGAGGTGCTTCTGGTTCTCCATTTTGATTTCTGACCATTTCTCCTGGGTGAAACTCTCTTCTTATGGAAACCCAGCCATCCAGTTCTGCAGCCCTTCCCTCCTCACTGTTGGTAGCTTCTGACCAATCATCCATTCTCATTGAGGACTATAGCATTTAGCTTATCATTCCCCTCCACACCTCACCATGGTCCCCAGTGCTGCACTGCATCAGAATCTCTGTGGATGAGACCCCTTAGTCTCTGCCACCATCTTCAGCTCTCACAAGGACCACGATGGTCCATGGGCTCAAGGCCATGTCTTTCCCCCCAACTCAGTTCCCATCCAGAATCTCAAGTGCTTGTTTGGAGTTGCACCCAATCAATCAATGGGTACATAAAATATGGTAATCGCACTGGAAGTCCTGTGTAGCAGCAAGGAACAATTGACTACACAGCAATAGAGACAGAACTTTAAAACATTGTGTGAAGTTTAAAAAAAAAAAAATCTAAATTAAAAACACATTAACCATAGCTATATCTGATTAATGGGTCTTGGAGTGATTTTGTAAAAACTTTTATTTTGGGGGGCTGGGGCTGTGGCTTGGTGGTAGCACACTTGCCTGGCATGTGTGAGGCACTGGATTCGATTCTCCGCACCGCATATAAATAAATGAAATAAACATCTATCAACAACTAAAAAAGTTTGTTTTTTTTTTTAAAAAAAGAACTTTTATTTTTCCATGTTGCTTAAGTTTAGAAATAATTTTTAGCTGGCACAGTGGTGCACACCTGTAATCCCAGTGACTTGGGAGGCTGAGCAGGAGTATTGCAAGTTTGAGACCAGCCTCAGCAACGTAGTGAGACCTTGTCTCAAAAAATAAAAAGGGCTGGGGATGTAGCTCAGTGGTAAAGCCCCTCTGGGTTCAATCCCCAGTACAAAAAAAAAAAAAATGCATTTTACACAAGCATTGTGTGTGTGTGTGTGTGTTTAGGTGCCAGGGGTTGAACCACTGAACCCAGTGCCTTATACATGTTAAGCACACACTCTACCATTCCCAACATTACTGTTTTAAAAAACCTACACATACACATAAAACAACTTTACATGTTGAGTCTCATCCCTGGGTATCCACAAGGGATTGGTTCAAGGACCCTTGCAAATACTAAAGTCCACTGATGATCAAGTCCCTTACATAAAATTGCATAGTTATATTTGCATATAATACACATGTATCCTCCCAGATACTTTAAATTATCTCTAGAGTATTTATAACACCTAATATAATGTAGATGTTATGGAAAGAGTTGTCAGACTGTATAATTTAGGGAACAAATCTTTACATATTCAGATGAAGATTTTTTTAAATATTTTTTTTAAAGAGAGAGAGAGAGAGAGAGAGAATTTTTAATATTTATTTTTTAGTTCTCGGCGGACACAACATCTTTGTTTGTATGTGATGCTGAGGATCGAACCCGGGCCGCACGAATGCCAGGCGAGCGCACTACCGCTTGAGCCACATCTCCAGCCCCAGATGAAGATTTTTGATTGAATGAAACAGCCCAAAACAGGGCTGGGGTTGAGGTTCAGTGGTAAAGTGCTTGCCTAGCACATGTGAGGCACTGGGTTCAATACTCAACACTACATAAAAAAAAATTAAATAAATAAATAAAATAAAGTTATTGTGTCCATAGACAACTAAAAATATTTTAAAAAGGAAAAAAAAAGTCTAAAACAACGTTTGTAGCCCTGGAGAGCCAAGTCCAGGTCCGTGCTCCAGACCCTTTGCACATGTCATTTTGGGGCCTGAAATGATTTGCCACCTACTTTTTTTCCTGGCACACTACTCATCCCTCAGATCTCAGCTGTCAGTTCCTCAAGGAATCCTTCCCGGACCCTCGGTCTAAATCGGGTCCTCTGATAATGGTCATTTGTCATACCCTTTACTTTTCTTTCAAAGCCATGATCCCAGTAATGATTATATGGTCGTGAATGTGACTGTTAGTTTCCTATTGATTTCCTCCAGTGGACTGCAAGCTCTATAACAGGAGGGTCAGACTGTTTGGTCTCTGTGATGTCAGATGTCCACCAGTTCAGCTTAGTACCTGTCACATAGCATGTACTAAAAAAATTGTTAGGTAAATGAATAAATGACTTCATCCATGTTACCACCAACACAATTCCCTGGTCACTTCCTGGCTCTTGTCATTCGTTACCCAGAACTCCATCTCTGGAATATTTATCCATTGAGGATTTACTGGAAACCACAAAGTACCAGGCACTGTGGTAAGTACTGCAGACTCCAAGAGAAACAGTGAGAGTTTATCAGATCCGACTTCAAAGCTCCAGAATCCACTCTCTGACTAGACCTTTTCAGGCTCCAACCAGCTCCCTTACCCTGCATATCTGCTCCTGAACCCAGGCATTCCAGATTGTCCAGTTTCTCCACGTCCATCAATTTCTCTCTCTGCTTTCCCTCCCCTCCCAGCCAAACTAGAGCCTCACATCAGCTCATCGCCCTGCCCCGAGATGCCACCCTCTCCTCCCTGCCTGGGATGGAGCCACAGTGCTAACCATGTTCCTAGACCTGTCAAATCATCCACCTCCTCAGCCAGTCCTGGGGCTGCCAAGTGCTGCTCAAGAAAACAAACAAAATCCCTAAATGTTGTAGAGGCCACAGATTTGAGGTCTTTTAGCAAAAGGAAAAAACTTCTTGATCAAGTTTCTACCAGTGTATCAAAAATGTAATAACATTCCTTGATCAAGTTTAAATGAAGAAATCTATGAATACAAATTATGATGTAAATATTAAAAAAGAAAAATCATGTGGTCTCTTCTTAGTACATAAATAATAATAATAATAATAATAATAATAAAACTCCAAGGCTGGGGTTGTGGCTCAGCGCTCGCCTAACATGTGCAAGGCACTGGGTTCGATTCTCAGCACCACATAAAAATAAATAAATAAAGCTGTGCATGGTGGCACACGCCTGTAATCCCAATGCCTCGGGAGGCTGAGGCAGGAGGATCTCAAGTTCAAAACCAGCCTCAGCAACAGCAAGGTGCTAAGCAACTCAGTGAGACCCTGTCTCTAAATAAAATACAAAATAGGGCTGGGAGTGTGTCTCAGTGGTCGAGTGCCCCTAAGTTCAATCCCCAGTACCAAAAATAATAAATAAGTAAGTAAGTAAATGAATAAATAAAAGGTATTGTGTCCAACTACAACTAAAAAATAAATATTTTTTTAAAAATTCCATACTGTTTTTCCTTTCCTGATCATTACATAATATCAATAAAAGAAAAAGGTCTTGGGCTGGGGATGTAGTTCAATGGTAGAGCAGTACTTGGCTAACATGTGTGAAGCCCTGAGTTTGATCCCTAGTACTGTAAATAAAATAAAATAAAATAAAAAGGTCTCAGTAAGCTAGGAATAGAAACTTCTTTAATTCAATTTTTTTGGGGTATTGGGGATTGTGCTTAATCACAGAGCCACATCCCCAGCCCGTTTTTATATTTTATTTAGAGACAGGGTCTTTCTGAGTTGTGTAGGGCCTCACTAAGTTGCTGAGGCTGGCTTTGAACTTTCGATCCTCCTGCCTCAGCCTCCTGAGCCTCCTAGGATTACAGGGGTGCACCACTGCAGCTGGCCAATTGAAGTTTTTGAAAGCCATACAAAGTCTGTAGCAAATTTCATACTCAATAACAAAGTACTATTAAAAAATTCCTATTAAAATCAGGAAGTAGGCCAAGATAGCTACCATCACCAATATCCAAATTCATGCTGTCTCTAATGCAGTAAGAAATGAAAATGACATAAAACATACAAGCATCAGAAAAGAGAATATGTGTCTCTTGCTCACTACAATTTATATTATTTACTTAGAAATCCCAGGAGGACCCACTGAACATGATTCCCAACCAGATGGGGGCCGTGGGTGGGTTGACCTCTTCTCTGGACCTAGCTGGGCTCCTTCCCCTAGGGTGTAGGGACTACCTCACAGGAGGAGAGACACAGGCTATCTTTGCTGCACCATAGGCCTGCATAGTCTGGCTGGCATCCTCCCGCAATGTAGTTGGGGGTCTGTCCCTACAAATGCATTCACTTTTTTTTTCCTTATCTCCTGAAACACTCCTCCTCTGAGTCCCACAGAGCTCCCTCCTGCCAATTTGGTATCCTGGCCCCCAGGTACAGCACGCAGGACCTTTCTGGGTTTGTCCTGCCTTATGTTGACCCTTCTCTTCTCATTTAGTTAGCATCTTCATCTCCAAAATATGCCACCCTCAGAGACTCAGCCCCCTGGAGTTCAGCTCTAGGTGCTTGCCATCCTTCCAATGAACCAGGAGACCAATGAAGCAGGTGGAAGAACTCGGAGGGGACCAGACACCAGACACCAGGGGCCTGGGCAAACAGAAAGGGAGGCCAGTCTGAGAGGAGAGGACACTGAGGACCAGGAAGGGGGCAGGCTGATCTTACCTGATGGTGTCTTCCAGGCGCCCCTCCCCCAAGAGCCGCAGGAACATGGCCTGGAGGTCGCTCCAGTACAAAGTGCCCTGACGGGAGTCCAGGCCCAGCTCATAGTTGACGTCCTCACTGACCACCAACAAGGAGTCCCCACATGCTTGACAGGACCTTCGGAAGGCCACGTAGCCCAGAAGGAAGGCTGGTGGGTGGCAAGATGAAGAGATTCTCCTTGTGCCCCTCTGTGGACACCAGAAATCTCCCCCAGTCCAGGCCCTTCACTGCGGGGCAAGGGCATGACTCACCCCCAGTGAAGATCAGGAGGGCAGTCAAGACCAGGTAGGGGGCAGCCCTTCGTCCTGCTGCTGCCCACGGTATGAGGTTTGGCAGCCCAGCTCTAGAGCCTGGGGAATCAGGGCCCTTCAGCTCCATGGGGCAGAAGTGGACAGGCAGCTCGGCCCCCTCCTCCCTGTCTTCCTCTTCCTCCTCCAGTCGCCCCTGATGGGGACCTTCCACACGTTTGTAGATGTTCTGAGAGCCTTGTGGGGACAACTGTTGCTGTGGGGGACAGGGCCAGCATGAGATAAGGGGAAAAGGCCTGGGGGACGAGGAGGGATCGGGCAATAATGGTGTTTGTGACTTTGGGGTGCTGAATGAGCATCAGGCAGGGAGAGGAGCCTGAGGGAGGCTGGAGGGGAGGAGCCAGAGGGGAACAGGAGGAGGAGGGAGAAGGGTCAGGATGCTGGTCAGAAGGGGTTGGTTTTATGGGTTGGGGGTGCCAGGGGACCTGATGGAAGGCCTGAGGTATCCTCCAACCCCACTCGTCTTACCGCTCTCTGGAGTAGACCCCGAAGCCGCTCCATGCTTGTGCCCCCTCCTGAGCCCTGCAGGCTACAACACCCCCCCCAGTGATAAACCGTTTGTGGGAGCCCCTGAGGGCCCCTTATCAGCCCTGGCAGGCAGTCTGAACTCAGGCCAGTTCTCACCCCTCCATACACACAAGGGTGGGGGCGTAGTCCTGGCCTCAGTCCAGCCTTCCAGAGGGCCCCCAGCCCAGGTCAGAGGACAAGGGGCTGCGCCTCCCCTGCCAATCCCTCCACAGCACCCTCCTGCCCCCTTGCTGCAAAACAATCAATATTTTTTTTACCTTGGAGCAGACTTTGGCCTCTTAGTTCCCGTCAGGGGTGGGGGAGGGGGCTGAAAACCAGGGAGAAGAGGATATGGGTACCTCTCCTGTTTCCAACTCTCCCAGTGACCTTCGGGATCCCTTCCTAAACCCTTCAACCCCATGCAAGATTCACCATGAAGATATCTGGACCCTTCTGCAGCTGGCTTGCAGGTCCCCTGAGGCCCAGGCTGCTGTCCCTGCCCTGATGAATCCCAAGCTGGAGACACTTGGGTCAATTGACTCGGGGTTTGGACTGGGCATGTGGATGGAAGTCTTTTTGGAATTAGGTCCCTACTGACTACTGGGGAGGGAGGCACATGGGTAGGGTAATTGGTCAGGAGGGACCAGTGAATATCCAGGATAGGGAGGCTGGAGTCAGGGTCAGGGCCCACCAGTCATTGGGGGAGTCCTGGCCAAGGCTGGCAGAGCAGCCTGATCTTGGAGAAGTTGTAGTCCACCCTGGGTGCTGGAGCCTCTTTGGTTACAAAATGACTTAAATTAAGTGGATTCTATTAGGTGGGTCTGAGACCTTCTAAGAGTCTAGTGAAAGGCCAGATAACCTCACCCAGAAACAGATCATAGATATAAATAACTAAGTTTTTCCTAAATTTCTAGTGGTGATCGCAGGTGTCCAATCCCAGGAGAGGACTCCAGGATACTAGCCCTCTGTCCAGGTCAGGAACTCCCCTGGGAAACCTCAGCTCCCATCCATGCCCACAGAGAACCCTAGTCCCCGACCCACGCCTGTCAAAGCCAAGATCCCCTCTATAGCCCCGGCTCACCTGGGGTATAGGTCCTGGGGAGTTTGAGCGCTACTCTCAGTTGACCCAAAACCTGTGCTGAGGCCCCGCCCACCTAGACCCCCTCACGGGTCCCGCCCAGGCCCCGCCCCCATATTTGCCCTCGCCTGGCCCCGCCCCCACCACATACGCCTCCTGCAGCCCCTGGACTCCAAGCTCCGCTGGTCATTGGATCCTCCCTGAGTGGGTCGCTTCCCCTCAAACCTGAGGAGTCCGTGGCTCTTGGGACTGTGTCCGGGCGCCCACCGTCGGATCTGGATGAATGTAGGTGCGCCCTCCCCTCGCCTCCCTCCGCTCCCCACCCCCAAAGAGGCCAATTTTTTTTTTTTTTCGTAAAACGTTTTTTTATTTCTTTTAACTCAGAAACATCACAACCTAGGAGGACAAAAAGGGAACAGGGAGGGTGATGAGGGCTTGGGATGAGCGGGCTGGGATCTGCGCTCGCGGAGGCCTGGCCGGGGAACACCCCTCTCGCGTCCCGCCGTCCCCAACGCTGCGGGCAGGTGGGTGTGTGCGGAGGGGCGTCCTTAGGGGCACTTCCGCTCCACGCACTGCTTCCCGCCCTCCTCGTACTCCTGCTTTGAGATCCACATCTGCTGGAAAGTGCCCTGGGAGGAGGGGCGACACAGCGGTCAGGGCAGTCCAGGGGGAGCGGGGAGGGACCGCCCCCACCCCACCGCACCCTGAGGAAGCCTGGCCTCCTCTGGCCTCGCCTCTCCGGGTCTCACCCTCCCTGGCCCGTCTGTTCCCTCTTTGTGTATTCAGAGGGAATACAGACAGCATCTGTAGTCAAGGCTTCATGCATTCAGCAAGGATTTATAGAGCACCTGTCTGCCCTGAGCCAGGCACCGTTCCTGAGCTGAGTGGTGGCACTTACAGCCTAGGCTAGCCAATCACCCCCACCCAACACCGCTCTACACACGCATACCAGGTGTCCGAGCCTCACCACACTCCATCAGGGCGCAGGCGCACTCTCAAGTCGCCTTCATTCCCAAGGAAAGTCTTTCCTCTTCCCTCACCATTCTGAAACCACCTAAACCACTTAACTTCTAGGTCCTGGTGCCCCGCTGTCACCCACCCCTACTGAAGCCTGCCATTTGAGGGGTCCCGCACTGGGCATCTCACACTGTTCCTTCTCTTGGATGGCCGTTCTGCCTTCACCTGAAAGTTAGTGTCTAGCCCTGGCTTGTGTCTCTGTTTCTCTCCTCAGAGAACAGACTTCCTGGCCTGGCTCATTCAGCCCCAGTCCTAACCAATCTCTTGTTTCCAACCCAAACATCCAGCTGTCTTTTAGATTCATGGCCCTAAGTGTTCCTCTGGATCCTAAATTCATTATGTCCGCAATTGAGTAAACCATTTTCCCCCAGGCTCTGCCTAAACCCGCTGCTTCTTTGATCCTTCCCACTCTCCATGCCTGTGCCCTCCAATGTGGTGGCCACTAGCCTCTGGTGGCCCGCCATCTCAATGTGCTTCATCCAAACTGAGATATGATCTATGGGGAAAATACAGACTGGATTTATTTATTTATTTTGGTACTGGATATTGAACCCAGGGTCTTGCATATGCTAGGCAAGCTACTCTCTGAGCTACTCTCCAGCCCTTTTTATTTTATTTGGAGATAGGGTCTCACTAAGGTAACAAGCTGGTCTTGAGCTTTTAACCTTCCTGCCTTAGCCTTCCAAGTAACTGGTGTTACAGTTGTGTACCAGTACACCTGGCCAATATGCTGATTTTTTTTTTTTTTTAGTACTGGGGATTGAACCCACAGGTGCTTGACCACTCAGCCACATCCCCACCCCCTTTTATGTTTTTATTTGGAAACAAGTTCTCACTGAGTTGGTGAGCGCCTTGCTAAGTTGCAGATGCTGGCTTTGAACTTGCAATCCTCCTGCCTTGGCCTCCCAAGTCGCTGAGATTACAGGCAGGTGCCACCATGTCCGGCTATATGTTGGATTTTGATGACATATTGGATCAAATAAAGTATGTTCTTAAAATTTAATTTTACCTTTTTTTGTATTATTTTTCGACATGGCTACAGGAATTTTTTTTTTTTTTTTTTTTTTTTTTGCACCAGGGTTTGAATTAAGTGGTGCCTAACCAGTGAGCTACATCTCTAGCCTTTTTAAAATTTTTTTTCTTTTTTTAGTTGTAGTTGGTACAATATCTTTATTTACTTATTTATTTTTATGTGGTGCTGAGGATCGAACCCAGAACCTCACACGTGCAAGGCAAGTGGTCTACCACGAGCTACAGCCCTAGCCCCTCCACCATTTTTTAATATTTTATTTAGAGATAGGGTCTCACTGAGTTGCTTCAGGACCTTGCTAAATTGCTGAGGCTGGCTTTGAACTTGTAATCCTCCAACCTCAACCTCCCAAGCCAATGGGATTACAAGTGTGCACCACTGCACCCAGCAGAAATTTTAAAATATATGTCTTGTATTGTGCTCCTGTTGGGTAGGACTGACCTAGCCCCTACATAAGTTAGCATCTGTGTCTTGTTCTTGACCTTGTCTCTTTCTTTTCTCTTGCATGCGAACAGTGTCCACGTACTGTCCATGTACCATTTAATAAGCTTCCAGTGTACACTTACTGGTACCCATGCCTCTGCTGTGTCCCAGTCGGAGTGGAGATGGTAGCAGCTCTGTCACTGCCTCCTTCTCCTCCTTCTTTCTCTCTCTCTTTTTTTTCTTTTTTGTAACACTTGGTATTGAACCCAGGGCCTTGCACCTGCTAGACAAGCACTCTGCCACTGAGCTACATTCCCAGCCCCTGTCCCTGCCTTCAGCCTGGCCCCATTTGATCCACTCCCCACTCTCATGAGGGAGCATGTGGACCTCCTAAAACCCAGATCTGCTGCATCTGTCTTTGGCCCTGCATCTGGCCCTCCCCACAGTCAATGCCTTGTTATCTTCTTTGCCTTCCAAGTTCATACTCTTCTCATCTCAGTTTTTAATCCTGAAGGCCCTTGGAAACTTCCAAACTAGATCACTGCACACTTTGTGGTCACTTTCTGTTTAATAGTCTTGACTGTAGACTGTCACTGTCAGGAAGGCAGGGACTATCAGGCTGTCTGTCCACTTGAAACACAGAGGAGGCCTTTAGTCACTGTGGAGCTGACATGTGCCAGCCCCCAGCTAAGTTCTAACTGCCAGCCTCTGATTTTCTGACTCTCCTTTCTGTCTCCTTGGAGGTCTCCCCTTCTAGTGGATGTCCTTTTCTGTGGTGGCTCTGCCATCCCCTCTGTGAGGGGATGAATTTTGCACCCCAGCTCCCTGCTCGAAGACTTGTGTCCACCCCAGTGGCTGATCCAGACTAAATTCTCCACCTTCTGCACCAGAACCAACCCGCCCACCTCCTCATCCCGTTGCTCCTCACTCTCCCCCCACCTCCGCTGTTTCCCAGTCCACGATTCCAGAGACCATGGGAAGAGGCTTCTGGCAAGGTCTCCTTGGTTCCAGCTCACACCCTGATCACAAAGATTCATGCCTGACAGTCTTCTCAGAGGTGCCTGTCATCATCACATCACTCCTTTGCCCTCAACCCCCAGGACATCCCCTCTGCTCACAGAGGATGGTGGGTGCCTTACCACGACCTCATCCCAACCCATCTCCAACTCCCTGTCTTTCTGCTCCCTGATTTGTGTCCTGATAAAGCATTTAGGTTTCTGGGAGCACTTCTCTTTCTCAAAAAAATAAATGTTAGTTAAATGAATGAACTAGGATGCTGGCAAGGCAGTGGGGTGTGTCCGGGTGTCCCCTTCCCCACACTCAGCACTAGGCCAGGCCCCTTCCTTCTCACCAGTGAGGCCAAAATGGAGCCCCCAATCCAGGGGCTGAACTTGCGCTCCATGGTGCTGTTACTGGCGATGAGCTTCAGACGCATGCTCTGTGGGGAGAAAGGGGCAGGAGAAGCAGACATCTAGGCTCTGGGAAGGGAC